CAGTTGAATGTCTGATTGGTCTGTGTTGCTTCATACTGCAGAAGTTGAAATAGTATATTCATTTTGCTGTGGAAGAGGGCAGGTTTGTGGCTGATTGTTAAGTGCATGTTTATTAATCAGTCAAAGGTAAGCCAATGGCCTTGGTCCTGATCTTATAGCAGTTTGCTGAAACTAAGGCAGCTGGGTGTATGTAGAACGTGCACACCTTTCTGCCATACAATGTGTCTGGTTTTACTGCTTTAAGCAAAAAATGTGGGTATCATTGTTCATGTGTCTTGAAGTACATTGATAGTTGTGGTTACTTGTACTTAAATCTAGAAACTGATCCATCACACTAGCAACAATAAGCTTTTCAGCACGGTCAATGTTACACTCATGCCAAAGAGGTGTGAAAGGAGCAGTATTTTCTCTGAAAGTAGTTACAAAACACTTCACTCATGAACAGCATTTTTCTTTTCCATCTCAGTTTAATTAACTTGGAAACAGATTGGGAATATAATTATGAATCTTGGTACAAAGCTTCAAAAAATCATATTGGTGGCTTTGTAGCAGATGTTAAATGCATCTAATTACTCCTTTTATTGAAGCTTAACCTGCAGGAGAGCTGAAGAGCATCCAAATCCATTACAGACCATTTTATATGTTGGTTGAACCTTCTGAAATAAGTGTGATGGCTTTGCAGCATAAGGGCTTGGGGGCCAATTTTATCTTCTCTTGTCTGTGTCAAGAAGTTTTCATGCAGAAGGGAAGAATTTTTTTTTAAACTCACCTTCATTTATTGTAGCATAATACCATATTTGATATGCTAAATAACATGGGGTTTAGCACAGTGCATTTTATTGACTGGCAATAAAGCTTTTGTCATTTAAGATAAAACAGGGGACTGTAAGGTTTTGCCTTGAGCAGTGATGAAATAAGGTATTTTACATATTGTCTTAGCATTTAGGTCTTGGTAATAGAACAGATATGTAGGTACTATTAAAATGCAGAACAAGAAGACTACTGAAATACTGCTGTTTGTTTTACCTTAGAAATACATCTAGAATGGGTGTTCCATTGTTTAATCTGAGGTCATATTCAAAGAACAGAGATGAGAAGTTGCCTTAGCTGATACAGAAATTAAAGGTACTAGAGAATAGATAAAATTTTATCCCTGTCCATTTCCATATTTCCCTAAACTGGAAATTTAAGGAGTCAAGGTACTCTAAATAGGATGGCTAGAAGTGAAGGCAGATGACCTATTAAGCAAGCAGGCAGTGAAGAATGCATGTGCAGAGTCAGGGAAATCAATACATTTACTGGGTCAAGAGTAAGTGAATATAAAATTGAAACAGTGGCATTTCAGATAATGTAATGAAAGGAAAAGTAAAGCAGAAAGAAATTGATGCATCATTATAATTTCAAGGAAGAATATGGAAATTAAAGTTATTTCTTCTACTCTGAATAAGCATCTGATTCTGGAAAAATAAGCTACAGATAATGCACAGAAGGACTGTGCTAGCAATCATAGCATTAATAGTGACTAGTGGAGAAAGCCAAACCCCAAACAGCATGTAACTGCTTTTAGTTGAGTGCTGACCCATTCCTGATGGATAAGAAAGTCAACTTTGAATTAAACTTGTTAATACCTGAACAACAGCTATGACAGTAACATCAAAGTGAATTAAACTGGAGGTGACAAATTCACTGTGAAAGAAAAGTCATGTTACATCATAGCTCTGGACTGTAGCAGGCATTTAGGCTTATGTGGTTCCCTCAGCTGGAAGCTGGCTCATAGATCTTCATAAGAAAGCTATCTGAGCATGAATGAGGAACTTGACTATTAGGTAGTCAGACACAAAGTAAACAATTACCTATATGACTGTTGCTACCTGTAGCTTCACTATATGGGAGCTATACATACATTGAAGAAAACATCTAGATTTTGCCTACTGGTTTACTCTTTGACCATTTTTCCTCTGTATTTCTCCAGAAATGACTTCCACTCACTCTTTTTGAAGTTTCATTTCCAAATTTCCCTCTTCCCTTTCAGTCTATGACATGGTGATTGAATAACTAGACAATTGCATGAAAGTGTTACCAGTAACATTAAAATCAAGTGATTAATCAACTGATAGATAAGCTGGCCTGACACTATGTAGTGCAAGATGGTAGATTTCACCAGTATTGAATCTAATAACTAATTCGACTTATCATAAAATATTTGCCAGAAAAACTTAAGAGTGTTAATTTGAAGATGGATAATGAAAAATCCATAATTTTATTTTGAAATTTATTCAAATTATTAAATCATATTTCCTTTTTAGGAAATTCTACCTTAGTTCTAAATTCAACTTGTTTAGCCTTGTTTTCTAATATTCAGTTCTTCCAATGTTCATCATAGCTGTTAACCATTAAAGCCTGGCATTTTTGGTTTGGTTTTTTTGTGGTTTTCTTTGGAGGTTTTGTTTTCATCTTTTAGAGTGCAGCAAGTGAGTTCTTGTTTATATGAAAGACAGCTTCCCCTGTAAAGGTGTTTTGCTGGCTGGAACACTGGCAGTTGGTTTGCCAACAGATTTTTTTTTTTTTTTTAAATATGGCTGCTTAGCACTGGGCATAATTTATCTCTGTATGTAACATTGGAATATGCTTCTCCATAGTGCTGCTTGCTATTCTTCTGCATGGGTACTCAAAGACTGCATTCACCCTTTTTGCCACATTATCATGGGAGAACCTTGCATTAAACTGGTTCTTGGCTGGGACATGATATCTAAGATTTTTCTAGAATTGGTATTTTTCAGAATATAGTCTGTCCTCTGAAAGAGACTGCCTACCTTTTGTTCTACAAAAATACATTTTGTTCAGATTGGCTCAGTTTTCCAGCTAATGCAGGTATCTCTGCATGACTACTTATCTCAACTAATTACTAGTTTGTTTCTCTGTAGCTATTTATTAGCACAGTTTTACAGCTATATCTGGGTCATCAAGGGCTATTTTGGATCCTCCATATTTCCAGGATCAACCTTGTTATTGATGGCTGATGGCTGCTTTTCATAATTTATCATTCTCAATTTATTTAACATGTACCTTTCAGATATGGTATTGTGCTATGCTTTTAAATTAGGTTTATGACACCAGAAATGTATGCATTGCAGTTGAAGGAACTGCAGCGCTGTTACATTCAACTAAACTTATAAAAGATCCATGTCATAGGAGATACTTCCCATTCATTCTTTATTAAATGAGCCTTTCAGCATCCCAGAGATGCTGAAGATGCTGATAGAGTCCAGTTGCTCAAGTCCTTTTGCATAATTTGTAACAACTCTTCTTTTGGCCCGGCAATCACATTTAGCCACACACACAAAGGTTACCTTTGACTTTGTAGAGTTTAAGCTTTCATTTGAAACAAATAAAGCAGGCATTTCACATCTCTGGGCATGGGACAGCTCCTAAATTCCTTATAGGTCTTGCTTAATTGATGAATTACACTAACATCTATTTGTAGATTTAAAAATAAAAGTAATGTCTCTATTTAGTAAGATCTGTGACTTTTGAGAAGACAGTGATACAGTGTATTCTTCAAATAAAAAGAGAACAACTGTTTCAATTCATGCTTACATGCTTAAATTGTGCTTAGTTGTTTCACATTGTATTATTCTTAGTAATTCTTTAGAAGAGTTTTAAATAATGCAGTAAAATAAATAATGGTATTTAATATGTTTTTATGATAGACCTTCAAGACCATGGGTCTCTATTTATTTGAACAGGAAATATGCTGTCTCATAGTTTGTGGTGATTCTCAGATACAGCTGAATCAAACTAAAAAGTGGGATACTATGTGTGCTGTTCCATGAGCCTAGGGATTGCATTGAGTTTTTTGCAGTCCTTAAACCACACTGTAAGCTGGCCTTTAACTGGAGACTAGTAATGAACCTTAGACTCCACCTTGATCACTATAAGCAACTTCTATGTGGTCAGTTCTGTGAAAAAAACACAACAGTGCAGAATTATAAAAGGTAACATTTTAAGAACACATGTAATAATGTTGACATTGTTTACATCATGTAGTAAAGAACCATGCTCCAATTCCAACAGCTGCATTGCTCATTTTAACAGCTACAATTTTCTTGGATGATTTTGTCCTTCTTAAGCATGATGGGATCATTATGCATCTGTACTCTAAAGCTACTTGTACTCTTTTTGTTGCCTTACATTAATGGATGAGGCCATTATATGGGGAGCCATTATGTGACAAAACTCAGTATCCTATTTGCAGAGCTGGTGAACTACTCATATCACATGATGTCATTGTGTCTCATGCATCTGTGTGTGAAAGCTGTCTCTAAGAAAATGTTACAAATATTAAATTACAAAACCTGATAAACTAAGTCATAACCTGCCTGGTATATTCCCATACTGATGATTATCCTTATTGTTTTCATTCTACCAGTTCAGTCTTTTGTCTGACTTATTCATGATGCCACATGTGCTGAACTTAGTCATTAGTGAACAAACTGAGAAGCTGTCTATATAAAATTGTGGTGGTTTTCCCCACCATTTAAAGGCAGAAGAGCTATTTTCTGGTCACATCAAAGTAATTTCTGAGGCAAGCTTTACAAGACTCCTGACTCAGTTTAGCCAGTTGTTCTCAAGCAGGCTTTATCACTCTGTCACCTTTTCATTCTGCACATTCTCATTCCCTACTGTTTTCCCTTCCTGTCTCCCCATTAATGTGATGGGCCTTACAGGATTACCAGACTACTGCTGAAGTACTGCTGTTTTCCACTTCTCAATTCCTCCACTTGCACCACCTCTGAGCATGACTTGCCTCACTCCCACTTCACAAGCATTCAAGGCAAGATATTTTCAGATTTGTAAAACACTAGGTCCTGTGGAAGACTAGAAAGCAGCATGACACTAAGAATAACTCAGTCTCTTAAAACAGTGAGGAAGCGTTCAGATAAGAGTACTGTACTATTACTTACCAATGTCTGGGGTAATTCTTTCAAGGTCAGAAAAATGACATCTGAAATAGAACTGTTTTACAGAAAATGTTGCTTATCTTCACAAGCATTTTAGGTATGTATATTCTTAAAATCATTACTTCTATTGCTGCTATTCTACACTTGTTTTAATATGCTCAAAAAACTTCATGTCATGTCTTCTGAAAATCCAACTTGAAGTGGAAAGAAAATAGTTTTAAAGAATTTCATTTGTTTATTTAAATTACTCATGTATGAAAAATCGTTTTTCATATATAATTTTTCAGATGCTATTTTTAATGCTGTGGCAAATCAAACGCAACTTTGTGTTGAATCTGCATTTTCAGTATGTAGTTAATTCTCAGTGATAAATATGTGCTTTGCTTTTTTGAAGGCAGTTTGGCTTGGAAATAAAATCATGGAAGTATGAAAATGCTGAACTGCACATGCAAAGTATGCTTCTGACTATTCTGATCATAAGTTTGTATGAATGTTAAAAATGTGGTAATTTGTTTATGCAGTCACTCTCATCTGTCTGTGATAATGTGCACTTACCTAGGTGTGGAACTTGCATCAGTAAAAGCAGTTTCCAAAGTGCTGAGAGGCATTAAAAAACTTGGTTAGGAAATTGGAGTTTTGGTAAAACCAGCCTGAAAGTGAAAGGAGGAACAAAAAAGAAAAATATTTCTTCAAGGTCACAGCAAATATTATGTTGTATGTCTTAATAACTTTTAGAAGGTTGCTTTGCCATCTACCATGTATGTATTACATGAAAATCTCCTTTTTGGGAGGATGATCATTGCATGATAGGTGTTGTCTGAACAGTAACTATAATAATTTTAAACATATTACAGTATTTAATAAAAATAGGTTTCCTATAATTACCACAATATTTATATTTTGTTAAAAACTAGGAAATATCATCGTGGCAAGTGACCAAGGCTCCTCGAGCCAGCAGTCAGCCCAAGTCCACTCTCAAGGAGACCGAGAGTGTTTGTCTTCTCCTAGGTCAGCACCCACAAGGGAAACCCTGAGAGGGCAAATCTGTGGCACATTATCTTTTGTGCTTCTGAGAGTTACTTCCAGACCCTTTTACCTCATCAAACAGCATTACTACTGCTTTTAGTGTAGAAACTGCAATTCAAACAGAACTCCCTACCTGACTAGTCCTTCTTACTCATGTTACAGAAGGGTGGCAGAGCTACAGGAAATCATGACTCATATTCTTGTGTGGCTTTCACTGTTATTGGGAGAATAAAACCAGCAGACAACAATGCAGAGATAAAACAATAACCTGACTCCAAAGTTTCAGACAGCCTGGTAATCTTTGGCTGCCTCCAGGGGTGCTGGCCTGATAGAACAGGCTTTTCATCGGAGATAAGCATCCCATGCCACAAGGATCTTTAAAGAAATGGTGCAAATAAGGAAAAAAGTGAGGGACAACTCCCCAGAGCGCATAATCCCTCTCAATCTCTTTAAACATCTAGGTGTTTTTACACTTTCAAAGGAGCAAGTGTGAATCATAAAAGAGCTACCATTAAGGAAGTCCATTATTTTCAATTACAGCTCCTCTTCAGTTTTAAATTCTGCTTAGGTATGGTTTAAGTGATTGTCACAATCAACATGTAACAGGCAGATGCTCCTCAGTTTAAGTTTTTTTGCCAGTTCACTGAAGTCTGCTCCCTTTCTATATACTTGTATTTTTAAGGAAAAAAGTGTGTGTGTGTGTGTGTGTGTGTGTGTGTGTGTGTGTGTGTGTGTATGGGTGTGCACGCGCGCATGCGTGTGCTCACACATATAACTGGGTACTCCTCTACAAAATCCTTTCTGTGTTAATTTCTGATGATTTTTCTTGGTATTCTTCCTATCTACAAAAACAAACCAAACAAACAAACAACAAAAAAAGTCCAGGATTTCAACTACAAGGTTATTTTAAAGAACCATTGAATTGTTAAGGTTGAAAAATACAACTTTAAGTTCATTGAACTCAACTATTTGCTCAGCAGTACCCTAGCCACCACTAAGCCATGTCCCTAAATGCCACAGCTACACAGGCCTTAAATATCCCCAGGGAGTGTGAGTCAACCACTTCCCTGGGTGGCCTGTTCCATTGCTTGACAACCTTTTTGATGAAGAAATTTTTCCTAATATCCAGTTGAAACCCCCTTTGGTGCAATTTGAGGTAACTTTATCTTGTCCTATTGCTTGTTATTTTGAGAATTCAGTGGCTTTAATTTTCTTGTCATCACTTAGAAGGTAACTAAATTTTCCCCCCTGTTTTTCCTTCCTTCTTAGAAAAGTAAAGAGTAAACCTGCAAAGAGGAATTTCCTAGGGATTCACTGCTTGGCAGACAAAGCTTCTCAAGGGCTGACATCCCCAAATTAATGTCATTTAAGACAGAGTCCACACACCACCTGGAATCATTACTACTATAGAAGTTTACAGCTTATTTGTCAAATGCAGTATACTGAGTTCACCCTTAGCACTAGGAAAGCTTAAGGACAAAAGTTGCATGCTTCCTCCAGCAAGAAATCTTAACACTAGAAGCAGAAATAATTAAGTAAAAAATAATATGGAACTAGAAAAGTGTTCTTATCTTGTTAGTTACAATTGATTTTGCTACTGTTACCCAAAGGAACAAATGACCCATATTCCACGTGGTAAGTGCACCTACTTGAGAGCTGATGTTTAATGTCTTAATGTTTCATCTTCTCTCCAGGCTCAGAAGATGTTCCCACAATAACTCCAAGCAGCATGCTCTTCCTTGGCAAGAATGCTCTCTCTGCTTTTTCTTCCTAACTTGGAACTCCATCTAAATGGAGCTCTTGAGGCTTTGAATTTTCTCTGAGGTTCCTCTAAGTCAACAGTCTTATATATTAGCTTAAAGAATGCTGCAATATTCTGAAAGCCTTAAAAGACCACCAGTCATTCAGAATTTATGTCAGCTTTAAATTTCTCATTGAGAAAATTCTTCTGAACAGCAGGGATTATAACACCCCTACCTTTGGTTGAAGAACTCACACTACCATGACATATCCCTTCCTGTAAATCCCTTGACTTCTTTCACATGAAGGCTTGCCCTGATTTCTAGCTTACATGAGATAAAAGCCAACATTTTGTTTTCATCAGCTACCTCTGACATACACAGTCATGCCATTTATTTTGTGTTGGAATACCACTCCTCATCTCAGCAAGTGAGCAGAAGATGCACCTAAATCTACTTCTAGGGGTAAAAAGCGCTTCCAGTTACAGGAGCAGTAACTACTTTTTGCATAAAAATTGTTACCATTCTTAAAACTTCCTACTGCCATTGAAACCTTGCACTTCTGGTCAGATTTGTTCAAAGCATTTCTTTAAAGCTCTGGAGAGGAGGTCACTGTCTCTTGGGCTCAAATTCTCCAGTAAGTGAGGCCTGAGCACTTCACAGGGAGCAAATAAAAACACAAGGGATAAAGTTCATTATCACAGTTCCTCTGCTTTGAAATTGTCACAAATTAATATTACTGCTCTGCCAAAGGAGATCCAATTATTTGAAGCTAAGGCACACAGCCTTTCTAGAATGAGTTTGGTATTTCTTTACCTGCCTACAGTCTTTTCAAACAGTTTACTTCACTGAAAAGTGTACTTCAGACTTCTCAAGGCTGTGGCAGAGCTGCTGATAACAGTTCTTAAATACATGTGCCTGAGTAAAGAAAGCTAGAGGTATATTCTTCAGGAAACAGTATTTTTACTTAAAAGAAAACAATATCAAAAATATGAGGGGGAGGAATCAGTTTTCTAAATGGTATGAAAGGCACTGGTGTTCATTTTGGAAAGAAAGCAGGTGGTTTATTTCTTGATTCTGGGTCTAAGAGAGAGCAATTTAGTAAAGCTGTAAGAGAAAAGAGAAATTAAAAAAAAAAAGCACACTGGAATTCAGAAATCCTTATTAAACAGAAAACCAGCAATGCTAGCCATGTTGTTGGTGCAGTGGATTCTTGTGATGCAGCAGCAGTTCTAGTAAAAGCTCATAAACACCAATCTACCTGCAGTTGTATCATCTGACACAGCAATGGAAGCTGCAGCTGCTGTGCCAGCAGTTCCAGTGAAAGGACCACAACGATCAACAAGATGTGTGGTTGGACCATAAGAAACCAAGGATATAGTGAGGAAGCAGCTGATGGTCAATGAGGATATTCTCTGTCTTGAAGACTTCTGAGCAGTGGAGATGTGACTGCCACTAGTATGAGCTGGCTGCCACTACAGCTCCTATCTCTACTATAGATCCCAGTGTTCCCCTTAAGGAAAGGAAAGAATAAACTGCCATGCCACCTAAGCTTATTATGTAGTATTATTACACAAGCAGAACATGTTTTCTCCTGCATTCCCATCCAAGGGCAAGAGGCTCATAGCTCATAGAAGTAAAGTAATAGCCTTTGAAGCTGAAAACAAGCTCTCTGGAGACAAATATATATGATGATAAGGAGAGCCCTGCTTTCTGCTAGGACCCTGGGCCTGCTGCTGTGGAGTGTCCAGCCCAGAGGAAGCTACCCAAGGGGTTCCATGAGGTCCAGGACAGCAGTGACCACCGGTTTGTAATGAAACATGGTACTCTACCACAACCAACACAAACAGCCCAAAAGCATGAGAGTGCTACAGAGAAGACAGTCCAAAGCAGAGCAGGAGGATTCCACCTCCACCAAAGTAGAGGCCTCTGCAATTTGCTGGTCTGTCTCTGTTTTCTGTATTTGAAACTGAGTCAGGTCAACAAACTGCCACTCACTGATGTGGCTGTACCATCCGTAGTTCCAAGCATCTACTTATTCTGATCTTCTCATACTGGTTTTCACCAGTGAAATAAAAAGCAGTTTCACTATCACCTAAAAATTACTCTCTTTGTGTAGTTGTTGAATTATTTTAAACTCTTAATGTGCCTCTCTGTGTCCTTCAGTTAACATACAAAGAGAAGGAATCTGTATTCAATGTTGGACTATTTTAGCATGGCCATATCCTGAGAGAAAGCAAGATAACTCGCAGCACATCTCCAATTACTTTTTTAAAATGACACTTGTTAAATTTTGTGTTGTACTGACAAGGGCAGGACATTATACTATGTACAGACAATACCTGAGATGGAGCTTAATGACAAAGAACAAAACAGGTATCAAAACAGAATAAATAGTGTGGATAAATTACAAATCAAAATTGTACAAACCTGGAACTCTTTGGTGTATTCAAAACCAAATTCCTTGAGAGCTTATGATCTAGTCAATCTCTTTTCTGAGTTGCTCTAGTAACTTAGACCAAATGTAACATTAACATATTCCAGTAACTACTATGCTTAAATCTGCTTCCAAGGTTCTTTTTGATTTAGTTCAGGTACTCAGAGCAAATTGTTTTTAATGACTTCACTTAAAATGCAGACATCCAGAACTGCTGTTTGTCTAGTTGCATAAATATATACTAAGCCTTATAAAAATGTTATGTGCATGCCAAGATGCTTAGAGGTTAGATAATACAGAAATACGAGGGTTTACTTGTCTAATTAAACTCCTAGGAGAAAGAAAGAGGGGGCATATAAATTACTATTTCATAGTTACCTCACATGTGAAAGGCTGCTTCTAATATCAAGGTTGGCAATTTCAGAACAAATGGTCACCTGAAACTATTTCCAAGAACTACTTCTGGTTTCTCTGTAACCCTGCCATGAGTTGAATGATGATTGTTTCTTTCCAGCTTTTTTTTCCTACTTTAAAAGCATGTAAAAATCTGACCAAGATGTGGTTCTACGTATATCTACACTACAAGACAATATGAAGCACTGGATTCAGATACTCGTAGAGCTGATTTTCTTCCGCCATGCCCTACATGGATTACTTATGAATATAGTTCCCTATATTTTAGTTAGGAGACTGAAAGACAGAATGGAGTTTTACATTACATACTTAAAATACTTAGTTTATCACTTTCCATGGATATATTCAAGTATTGTCTGTGAACAAACTACCTGTTGTATTCTTATTGTACTTATTTCAAGGTCTAGTCTCCCATCTGGTAATTGAAAACAAGGTTCAGCAGAGCTGCAGAAGAGCCTGTGACTTTCACATAAGATTTCTGTTTGATATGCAATAAACTGCTCTCTTTCTGAGGAAAGGCCCCTTTTTACCATCACAGGATTTCATGGCATAGATGACACAGAAACTTTGATGAGAATCAGAATCTTCCTGGCAGGTTCCACAGGTCTGGAGCTTAGGGATGCTCAATCAATTTGAATCTAGAAATACATTTCCTACTTTGTGCATCAGCTGATAGCTGTATGAAATTCTCAACAGAGAACAAGTGCAACTACCAAATTATGTTATTATGATGCTGAAAGCCAAAACATATTTGAGGAATACATCCACCTCTACTAAGTTTGCTAGTCGCACCACAACATGCAAGGCTTCAAGATAAAACAAGTCCTTTAGACTATAAAGCTCAATAAAGTTTCAAGCCTCAAAGTTTACATTTCTCAGATTGGCTCAGTCATTCCAGTGACTTGCCACTGCAAGCAGTATTCTGGGATGCCCATCACTCCCTGTTATGATAACTTTCAGTAACACTGTTCTAGTGTCACGAATCTTCTCTGGAGCCTAGATGAAATTAAAAAGTCAAGTAAAAAGGCTTCCTGTGCAATGATAGGGAAACATCAAGCACAGTGATGGATGTAGTTTGAAAAGTGGAGTAATGTGATGCACAGAATAGTCTTTTATCGTTATGCAAAATAATAGCTGTAAATTGCTTGCTTTGCATGAGTACTTTTTAAAAAAATATAATAGACTTACTTCTACCTACTATTTCCGAGACTAAAAAATGCCCCAAAAATGGTAATGTCTTTTTCACTGCTTCCATGAAGCTAGAGGATACAATACTCATGATGTTCATAAGCTTCCTGAAACTTCATATTGCCTTGGTGGCATACCTCCAGCTGGAAATACCAGCCATCAGTCTGTCAAAGTAGGTGGTGACAGACTGAAACACTTGCAGGCGGCTCCTGCTCATGAGGGAAGTCTCGCTGTTGCTCAAACCCTGCCTTCCTCGCGTCGTCTCCTCTCTCTCTCTCACAGCTCTTTCCCAACAAGACACAACTGCTGCCTGCAGCCAGAGCTGGTGCTCTATAGACCAGGCATGGCCGCTGAACAAGCTCCCTGCCGCCGAGGGCAGACCGGCACCCCGGGCAGCGGCTGCTTTTCTGTAGGAACAAGTTGCGATCAGCACCGCCATACGGCACGGTTTTGTAAAACCCCGACGTCCTCCGCTGTTCCACTCGGCGTGGGCTGATGCTACCGAGACACGGTGCGTTCAGGCTGGGAACGGCCGCTCTCCCCGCACGGGTGGCTTTTCTCTGGTGACTGACCCGCAGCCGGCTCCTAAGGACCTCGGCGGACCTCGGCGGACCTCCCCGCTAGCGGGCCGGCGCTGCCCCAGGAGGACGGCGCTGCGCAGCCCCCGCGGCTGCAGGCGGCGGCGGTCGCGGCGTGCGCATCGCCCCGGCAACCGGGGGCGGGCCCGGCGCCCGCGGCGCGTGGGCGGCGGCGGCCGCGCTGACGTCCGGGGGAAGCTGAGCAATAACAGCAGCGACACGGGCCGGGCTGCGCCTGCGCGGGCTGCGGGGCTGCTCTATTTATGTGGGGGGGCGCCAAGATGGCGGGGGCGGCGAGGAGAACGTAGGGGTAGCTCCGACCGGGCGGCGGAGCGGGGAGGAGGGAGAGGGAGGAGCCGGGGCCGGTGGGAGGGAGAGCGGTGTCACCGAACGTGCGAGGCGGGGGCCGGCGGACGGCGGGCGGGCGGGGGGGGGGGGGGGGGGGGGGGGGGGGGGGGGGGCGGAGGATGGCGGAGCCGCGCCGGGTGCCGTTCATTAGCCTGTCACCCGTGCGGCGCCGCGAGGGCGAGAGCCCGGCGCTGGAGCGAGAGCCGGCGGGCCGCGACCCGGAGCCACCTCCGGCGGGCCGTGAGGCGCCACCGCCGGAACCGCCGCCGCACGAGCCGCCCAGCGACAGAGCTGCCCGCCCGGAGCCGCCCCGCGACCCCGGCCGGCCCGAGCAGCCGCCGCAGCGGGAGCCCCCGCGGCCCGAGCCGCCGCCGCTGCCGCCACCGCCGCGCCAGAGCGGGCGGCAGGAGCCGCCGCCGCCGCGGGAGGCGCTCCCGCTCCGCCAGACGGTCCGCCTGGAGGTGGTGCTGAAGGACCCCACCGAGGAGGGCTGCGTGGAGTTCAGCTACCCGGAGCTGCTGCTGTGCGGGGACTCGCGGGTACGGGACCTCCCCTTCCCCTTCTTCCCTCTCCTCCCGCCGGCACGGGACCCGCCGCGCTTCCTCCTCCTCTGGGCTGCCGGCGGCCCCGACCTTGCCGATAGTGTTATCTGTTACCCCTTGCTGCTCCAGGGTGGTCCCGGTACGGCGGGAGGGGCGGCGTCCTGGAGGGAAGTCCGGCTGCCTTGCCGTCGCTGCGGGCTCCTGGTGCTGAGGCTGCGCCTGTGCCCGTGGGGGGAAGGGGAGGCTTCCCACTTGTCCCTGAGCTGGCCAAGGGCTCCTGGCCTTTGCTGCAGGCTGTGGCGGAGGAGTTACACTGTCTTGTGTCCCGTTTACCCCGGCTCACCTCCTTGCCGTTCCCTTTCCCTGCCCGGAGAGGTGTTTCATCCTCCCATCCTGGGAGATCTTTGCTGGCAGCTGGACGAAACTGAGCACGCCGGTCTGTATTCCGGGTTGTCCCTAGGCTGTGTGCAGGTAAATAAAGAAAGCCCGGCTCTGCTATAAGCCTCGACAAGCAGTACGTGATCGTTAGCAGACTTGGAGAGGAGTTTTTGTAGTCTTGGAGGGGACAGCGGTAAATGAGAGTTAATGTTGAACCAGTAACCACACCTGTAAGTGTTGAGAACGTAATTCAAGGAAAAAAACCAAAGTGTTCTTTCTTTGCTTATTTCTCCCAAGCAGAAAGTGTTTGATGCTTGAATTACCTTGTTTTCTTAAGGATAAAACTCCTGCAAACTCTGCAGACAACTTTAGCAGCGTTAGTCAATCAACAGGGCCCACTCTTCAAAGTAGGAAGGAGAGACGCATGTCCTTAAGCCTGTTACACTTGAGCTGCTCATTCTTAGTACTTGATTTAAATAGTTGTGGCTTCTCTTTAATCCAGTACACAGTTATAGAGAAAGCTTGTCTCTTACTGGAAGAGGCAGAGGGCAAGTGAGTAACTACTACTTAGAAGGTTGTGGTAGATCTGGTGATAAAAGCAAGTATCAAATACCAGTACTGGTACTGCCATGGAATTTTTATATCTAGCACAAACTTGAATACAGTTGAAACTTTTCTTCTGAACCAAAGCATTTGTAGGCGATGGTGGTGCTGTAACTATACTTAGCAGACTGCTCACTTTTTCTGCTGTAGGAGAGATATACACACTGGATTGTGTTCAAATGTGGAAGGCAGAAAAATCAGTGACTGATTTTAATCCCTCAGATCTTGTCATGCAAGTTAAAAAGTTCCTTCTGTTCATCCTGTCCTACAGCTGTTGTGGGCAAACAGTGCCAGTTATGACTCCTCAGAATTAGTGTAGCATAATCATGCTTGTCTCTGAAGTGCAATCTTTCTGAGCAGTTCCGTGAAGGTGAAAATTGTGTTAGTGTTTAGAAGTGGTTCAGTACTTGAAGGCCAGCTTTTCCCTTTGGCAGCTCCCAGTTCCATAACTGCCTTTTATTCTGAAGGTTGCCAATATCTTAATCACATACTCAGGGAAAACAGGCTCTTTCTGATGTAGTTCTGATGCAAATTCCATGTCTTCTGGGGTGGGAGAGCATTGATTTAGGGAATTTTGGAACAACTGGGATCAGAAACTGCTTTTATGGTAGAGACAGTGATAGTAATGCTTTATAAGAAACTTTGTATATTTTTCAGCCCTGTAGAGTCCAAATTAAAATGAATGGATCATAATGGCACTTCTTTACTGGGTTGTGGAATAATCAGGTGATTTACTGTGTAAAAGAGTGTCATAAATTAGGATCCTTTTAAAGTGATTCTGGACTTTTACTCATGTTTAAAACCTGATGTATACTAAGCCTGTCAGTTAAATTTCTTGCTTGTTATATGGTAGAACCTAGAAAAGCTACTCTAATATTAGGGAAGATTGGAAATCTTGAGATTTGCTTTTTCCAAGTAGGTAGTAACTAATTGGTTGTTAATTTTGTGGTTTTAAGTGGAGTTTTAGATTTCAACATTTGTTGTTTTAGTAATGTTTTGATTTAAAATTAACAGTTCAGTTACTTTACTATGCAGATTTTTTGTAGGGGTGAAGATTGATTTGGTTTTTTGAAAGCTATTGTTGACTTCTCCCTTATAAGAAGTTACTCAACTTTTTTATAACATTTCCCATTAAAATTTAACATTACAAAGTCAGGAGCTCGTCTTTCTATCTTGTAGTATTCTTGGAACTGTAGCAACCAAGAAAAGTTCTCCAAAGGAAGGCAAGCACTGATGCACAGGCATAACTTCAAATATGCCTTTAACAGGCCGTGATAATAGTGGTTATATAATAATGAAATTATAGAGAATCCCAAAACTGATTTGGCAGTGCAACTTCTGTGGTTTTTTTAAATTCCAAATTTAGGTTCCTATGCTGTTTCAAAAGCTAGTGGAAATATTTATTTTAAAAACTTGTGCTGTCCTTGTCCTTTCTTGCCTTGATAAAGACAACATCCTTTGATAGGGTTGTTTGTAGAGTTCATCTTCTGCGAAGAATTATGTAAAGTTTTGAATGTGACTAATAAGTGTGTGTAGTTGAAGGATTTATTTGCCTCTTAAATGCTGGTGGAAGTGAAAGTGTGCTCCCATTTCTTTTGGGGTGACTGAGGTTTGGTGCATGAAACCCAAGTCGAAGTGGATGAGCCAGAAGCTCAAGTTGGCTTGTCAAACAGGCTCCAAAGGTGCTGAAGTAGTAATGTCTTAGTTTGAGAGCCATCTATCCCTTAGCAACAGTTAAAACTAAAATTTGATTGAATTTGAGTTTGCAGTACACTTAACAAATTGATAGTTGCCTTTGAGTGTTTGATGGAGAAAGGCAAATTAACACTTAAGTACTAAGTTTTATTGATCTTTAGGCTCAACCTTTTCTCCTTTCACAGTTAGAAAAAAAGCCACATATGCCTAGCAGAGATGAGGAATACATCTTCCCTGCTAAAAGTAAAGAAAATGGTGTTTCATGAATTGAGCAGTATTTTATATTTAATTATGCCTGCAGGAAATAAGTAAGTGGCTTTAATTTATGTTTTAGGAGTAACTATAGCCTCTATTAATTTTTTTTTCCAAATACTCAGTCTGGAAAATGTATTATAATTATGTGGTGTTTGCAGTTTTGCTTAGCTTACCTTCCTCATTACATTGGTCTTGATGCTAATGAGCTGGTTTGGTCATCATTTAGTCAATATATTGGCTTTTTATATTATAGAGGAAGGATCCTGCTTTTCTGAGCTAAGGTTTTTTTATTCTTCATAAATCTTCATTTATTCATTGGTGAGTAGTCCATGTGCAGTAAAATTAGTTGCCATCCATAAAGTGCTGAAAAATGGAATTCCATTCCACTGTGTTTTAGCATCCTAGTACCTTCCCCCTTCTAGCAACTACTGTATTTATGTGAACTCCAGTTTGAAGGAGGGCAGCCCTATTTTCCTGCCATCATTTATTGAAAGAAGTAAAAGCACTATGTATACCCTGTTCGTTGACTTTATCTCAGTGAAAACCACTTTTCTAAAAAACAGCAAAAAAAAGTAAGGGGCTACTCCCTCCTTGTATGTATAGCTGGAATATTAAGTCTCTTTTGTGGTTAACGTAGTTATGAGTACTGAAATTAACTCTTGCACTATAATTTTTTTCTTTAAATAAAAGACTTATTTTAATTAAGGAGCTTTTTAGTCTGGCTGCTTCCTTCCTGCTTAACATACCATGTACATCCTGTCTGTTGTATCTAGAAGAATCATAACAGCTGTTAGAGGGGCCAGCAAGTGGAAGCAGAGGTGAAAAGGAGTTGTGATTAGAGAGTTTCTTCTAACCTCAAATGGCCATAATTCTCTCTTATGCTTAGACTTTTAGTTGAGGTTGTTGTGGAATGCTTGGGAAAATACAAATCTGAGTATTTATCTTAATTCTTCTGGTTTTGTTGTCATCAGAAGAAAAGTAGCTAGATGGTAATTCAATGATCAAAGTAATTTTTAGAGATTAAGTGTAAATTCTGACTACTTAGTCATCAGAGTATTATTTTTTGACATTTAATAGGTTTTGAGATGCACTCTTTCTTATGGAATGAACATGTAACTTTTGCATTTTTCAGAAGAAATCGGTTCATTTAGAGGATCCATATAATGATGAACAACGTGAGCGACATGAAGTAGAAATGCTTGCCAAGAAGTTTGAGGCAAAATATGTGAGTTACTGCACTTTGTTAAAAATACAATTATTTAATAGTGATAACAGATAATGTTGTTGGGTTTTTTTTCCTGAATAGGATTGCTAATGTAGTGTCAAATGACTTCTGTATGTTTCAGTGATGATTGTCTCACAGTATTTCCTTTAAGTACCCTGAAGATGCCACAAGCATATCAGACAAGTCTGCTAAATAGATTTGTCTATAGATGTTATAGCTTGTGAAGCTATTCTTGGAAAAGAATAGTCTTGGTAATCTTGGAAATAGATGCAGGTCAATATTCATGCTCCATGCTGTGCTGGAGGAAAAAAAATTTATGCAATGCTGTTGTGCACTATTGAACAGGTCTTCACTTTGGGCTAAATACTGATGAATCTCGATGTCCTGACTAGTTGGAATGTTTCCACAGGAAGTTATTTGTTAAATACTAAATCATTGCTCAATGAATGTCTGGTAGCTGCCAATTGCCTAAAGATACTCTACTGGCTTCTGAAACTGTAGTGTGAGTGACTTGAACAACACTAGCTAGCAACATAAAGAGCCTTTCACTAGTAAATGAAGGTAGAAATCAGAAAATGTTGACAAAAACCACACCCAAACAGGTCTTTAAGAATTCATACGGGTAGGGTTGGGTGATTAAGTCTGAGCTGGCAATCAGAGCTCATCATCATGCTGAGGCATGTTGATATTCTGGATTACTAATAGAACACCTCAATAATAAAGAAGGAAAACAAGAGTAGTCATTTATGTCTTCTGCTATTAATATACATACTAAAATCTTTTTTGTCTGACTTATTTGGTTGTGGTGGTGGTTTTTTTTTTTGGCAAGGGTATATTTTTCCAAGTGCTCAGTCTATGTATTATTTCAAGGTATGTTAGCTGTGATACATAATGAAATCAACTCTTAAACTGAAAATAATCATTCTCATCTTTTGGAGAGATTGAGAGAATCCAATATGAATTGAGAAGGCTGTTCCAAAATGCTGTTTGCTTTTAATTTGAATTAGAGATAATTTTTTGAATGTGAGAGAAAAATGTTCCAATCACACTATTTTAGAAAACTCATTTCTGCTATTAAAATGGTAAGGATTTTATAATGTCTGAAACAAGTTGCTTAACTACAGCTGATGAAAGTCAATGGAAGTATGTAAAGCAATATATGTAGGAGGGAGTGGTAGTGGAAGCAGTCCAATTTTACATATACGTTTATGCATCCATCAAAGCTGAACCTGTACATTTATGGACAAAAAAATGCTACTAGACTTAAGAAAACCACAGTTCAATGTTCAGTGGTCACAGAAAGGGGCAAATAGATGCTTTTAGCCATTAGAAAGCAGTAGGTAACAAAAAATTGCAATTTTTAACAGTTTAAATTTGTGGTGCACTTGCATCTTCATTACTACTTGCACTTCTGATTCTTTCCCTTTCATTCTCTGATTTGCCTTTTGTCCCTTCCACCCCCGTGAAAGGGAATGTCTTCTATATAAAGAACCACTTACTAGGTTAGAACCACTAAGCATGAAGGGTGATGAGGGATTAAGATTCCTTGTGTTAGAAACTCCCTATCCTTTCTCTTCCAGTGTAAGAACCATCAGTCTCTACTTGCCATGCATGCTCAGAAGAATCACATCTCTGAATGCTGACCCAGTACAATTGCTCATATTCTGACAGCATCCAGTCATCTTCTGCCTCTTGTGGTGAGACATTCACTGCATAGCTTGAAGTGGAGCAGGGATCCAGTATGGTAGATACCCTTTCTCCTCAAGTGAATGACCAGCTGCAGGATACTGTTCTTAGCTGGAGTTACACTGTAACACTCCAGAACAGTGCTTTGCAGTAACTGTAATCAGTGGTTGTATGAGAAAAAAATAAAGGTTTTATAAAGGGTTTTTTTTTTTTCTTCCTGCAAAAGGTTTGCAGGAAGTACTATATCCTCCTTTAATTAGGTATGACTTATCTAAGGTATCTGTTTAAAATAGTCAAACGTTGGTTTTAATCATAACATGGGGCCGTACTTCTGGAAAATTTGATGCATGAAGAGCAGACTGCCTTTAACAAGACTTTTTACTTATTTTCAGATAAATTTCTGTACTCATAACCGAATCAGTACACTCTTTGGTATATTTTGCAAATACTAAGGAAAACCTATGAAAAAGTATATTTTTGTAAAATGAAATGCATAACGTACCATTTGTTTACTTGATTATTCAGAACTCTTCTGTAATTGCTGCACATACTAAACATCAGCATAAAAAATCTGCTCTGAAGGGTTCCCATTTTCATTGTTTTTGATTGCTGTTACTCTCTAGATAAAATCAAATGCTGTTGTGAACACATGATACTGAACCTTGGACAATATTGTACATGTGCAAGAGCTTTTCTTGGATCAAAACAAAGGTCCATCTAACGGATGATACCATAGTTACTGACACAAGTGGAACCCCATCCTTGAAAGTATAATAGAGCAAGTGTTCATTGATATTACTTCACTGTGCCTGTCTGGCAGTGTCTGTTGTTTCTTAATTTCTCTCAAAGGCAAAGGTCACATGTTTAATATTTTTAAAGCTTTCTGCCTGGAATCTACCACATCATTGCCGTATTTGTGTTCTCCAGCACTGGAGTATCATGGTGACTGTCATATAAAAGCAGAGTGTTTAAATCTGATGAGTTCCTGTAGTGCTCCATAGTTTCTGTATTGCAAGAAACAAAGAAACATTTCCAGTTCTTCTGCACATTGCATGCAATTTTGAAGTTATCTTCTAAATCCAGCCCCTTAGTTCTCCAGCTGTAGTGTCTTAACATTGTTATTGTATGGAAGTGATGTTTTTTACATTTAAACATATTTGTTGGCTTACTGTTCTCTTTTTTTGTTCTAATAGTTTTTTTTTAATGAAAGGATATTAATGGTATGATACCCCTATTTGTCAGTGCTATAATGATTATTTCTGCTGTGGTTCTCTGTTCCTTTTTTTTTAATAAGTCCCAACTCTTTTTTTTTTTTTGACCATTCATGATTAAGCAGATGTCTGAACTGTGCCTAACAACTCCTCTGGTTCCTGAGCAGCATAACAAATTTGCAGCATGCTGGTTTTTTGGTGGTTTTTTTTTTTTTTTTTGTTATTTGGTTTTTTTTTTTTTTTTTTTTTTTTTTTTTTTTTTTTTGACTTAGGTTGTACTTAGTTTATGTGGATTACCTTGCTCTATCGATGCTGAATTTAACTGCCCATTTATCATACTAATTTCAGAGCAACTGTAAGGTCTTTCAGTGATTCTTCAGTTATTTTCTTTTTCCTTTACTTCCCTCAATGAATTGTCATCTTAGACCCCTGTCCTTCCCCAACTCTTTACCTGCTCTCCATAATAATTTTACTGATCACTCTTTGCCAGAATGAGATACCTATTCTTACCTTTTCTTTCCTAGCTGTAGATCAGACATCAGTTTAAGTGGATATTCCTTATTTCATTACAGTTTCTTGTTTTTAAAGATGTTTGGAACATTTTAAAAGAATTTCAAATACTTTCTTCTACCAACATTTCTTCTTGCTCTGTATATTCTTGTGCCTGTTGATTCTGTTGTTTATGGCTTTTATTAACTTACCCACCATAAAGACCTGGTTGATTGGTTTATAGATTCTTCTCTCCAAGATTCTTCAGGTACTGGCATTTTATTTGCCACCTACCTTTTAGTCCTGGTGGACAAAGGTTGTTTAAATACAAGGTTGAATGGCTCAGTTAATATCTTAAAGTCATCTTTGGCTTTTTTGGATACTTGCATGAGTAGTATTTACAGCTTCAGGAACTAGGCTCCTTAATGTGCTCTAGTATTGTGACTACTTATGTTCTGGGACAAAAAGGTTGGAGGAAAGCTGCAGTCATAAAATTTCCCTGAGGTGCTGCATGGTGGATACTGACACAGATAATCCCTTCGTTCTTCTGCTGCACTCTTGCATCTTTAACATCTTGAGCATATGAAATCTCAACACAGTTCCTTAAACAGAACTGGTTAGAGCCAGGCCTGAAGGAAAATCTCTTAATTATACACACAGTGTTGTGTGTGTTTATTTTCAGATATTTTCATATGTCTGAGTACAGGTACTATTTGAAGACTGCTTTTGTTCATTCAGCTATTATAAGACTTTTGTTGCTACTTTTGTTCCATATCTGGTTTTCTGACTATCAGGTTGTCAGAATGTATTGGAAATTTAAAATTTTTTTATTGCCCTTTTATTATACTGAAATCATAGAATCAGAGGATAACCATTTCTGCAAAAAGATTTTAGACTGGCAAACAAGAATGTTGATGGTTAGTAGCAAGATATATGTAGTACAGAGATGGATTGCATTACATATTAGTAAGATCAGTACAGGTGAAGTATGGTTTATGAAGCATTCTTAGCCTGCTGACACCTAAGTCAGAATCATGGGTTATATAAGCTTTTGCACTGGAGTTTAATCAGAATTCTTAAGTGCTACCTTTTCTTACTTACTTTTTCTTCTCTCATCGATCTCATGCAAACTTTTTTTTAAGTACATGTTTAGGAAATGTGCAGTCATTGAGATGTATTTCCAGATGAGTGATTGTAGGAAATTATAGGACTGATAGGAATACTTAGCTTCAAATGTAACTTGGAAATGTGAATTAAAAGCTGAATTTACTTTTGAGGTTTTTCTCCTAGGACTATTGCATTTGTTTATTTAAGTATATGTGAGCGATTCCTGTTTGCTTGCAAGAGCACATGCTTTACTTTGTCACAAACTTGCACATTCTCAAAATGTTGTTAAAATGGAGGTGTTGAGACGCTTACACCTCTCATAAAAGAGCAGGGGTGAAACTGCCTTTGAACAGTGTCTGCATTCTCATAGTAACTAGTGGACTGTGATACTTGGGTGTCACAGCTAGAAAGACTGACTTGCTCTAAGAATGATCAGAACTGTAGGGTGCAGGCAGAGAAGTTTCAGCAGCAAGTCTTGAATTCATGAAAGTTACCATTGTAATAAGGGTAGTGCTTTTTCAAGAATTTTATCTTTTAAGACTTTTATTGATGATTTTGACAATATATGTGAGCTAGAAAACTAGGAAACTAGGTCTTAGATCCTAAGAAGATTTTTGTGTAACTTTAAGTTTAGATTTCCTGAATATTTGAGCTGGCTGTGAGTCTTTACTTGACTTAACAATGAAACTTCCACATGAAAAGAATACTTGCAGATTAAAATTAATTTTACTGTCTCCTGGAGATAAGTGAACCCATCCATAGTTTTTGATGCAGCTTATGGTTTTGAGTAATATTTCAAGTAACATTTTATGTTTTAAGACTCAACTTTTTATATACTACAGAGAATTAATCCATCTTGTGTAGGGAGACACTTTAATGAACTCTAGGCTATCATTATTTTCATTTGTAATGACACTGTGACATACTGAAAAACTCAACACTTTCTAAACTATCCCAGCCCTTCTATCATTAGCAGTCCAATCACTATACTTTAAAATCATAGTACAAGAAAACATCTCTACAAAGGAAATGTTAGGAAGATCTTGGTCTTGCAGAAAAAGGTAGCTAGTGACCGCCTTTCAGGGGTGATTCTGGTGAGGCGCATTTGCCAGAATGCATGTGTGTGGAAATTTTCATTAGTTGTCTAGACCATCTTCAAGGAAGCATTTGAGAAAGCAGAACTGCTAATTCCTTGAATTACTATTCCTACAATGCCTTATGTTTTATAGGCTTCAGTACATTGCTTTCTTGTTTCCTAAGTGATGTAACACTTGCTTTGTCTTCAGGGTGGCAAGCCCCACAAACATCGGAAAGATCGCCTGCAGGATCTGATCGATATAGGTTACGGCTACGACGAGACGGACCCTTTCATTGATAATTCTGAAGCGGTAAGTAAGCTTCAGCACAGCAGCAAGAAATCATGAGGCAGTGCTTTATCTTTCCACTACAGAAGAAAGGTAAGGGGAAAATACTTTGTACCTGTCTATAACTGACGCGAATGCAAAGGGCATACTGTTTTGGGAGACCAATGAATTACTGTATTTGTAGTCTTACTCAAGATATTATGCACCAAAGAATTAAGAAAGCTACTCCTAGATCAAATAGTTTTCCAGCTATAGAAATTAAAATATTTTTATTTGTATGCTTCATTTCCTGTTGACTGAAATTACACTGGCTTGTTTTGTTTCTTGTACTAGCTCTCTGGATTATTAGTGGGTTACTGGCATTAAATTTCCTACATTAAATCAGGAAGCTATTCTCCTCTTAAAAACCAGTAAAAATAGGATGGTTATTCTAAACATTGAATATGTCTGAAAAATTTGAGATAAAACAGGTTAAACAGCAGAGTATTACTGCTTACTTAGAATATCTTTTAGAAATGAAAGTACATCTTGAGGTATAAGAAAAAGGTATTAGTTTGGTGCAGGCAGTATTAGAGATATGAGAAGGTTTATAAGAGGGCATTTGAAGATATCTTGGAGGTGATACATGAAATTATGAAAATGAGAAAAAAGCCTGAGAAAAAAGTCGATTATCTAAAAGCTCAGAAACCTCCTATAATTCTTCCTTATTAAATGTCAGAAGTATGTGTACAGTTTAGTCAAGTAAAAAAAAAAAAGAAAAGAGCTGTCACTTGCCAGCCTTCAATTTCTTCCAGTGCTGAGCGACACTGGACAAAACAGCAGTGATCTGCTGTGAGAAGGAGTGGGCTAGAATTCTGAGTGGGAGAGGAAAGATTATGAAAAGGAGTTACAAGAAAAGAGTAAGAAAACCACATAAGTGCATTCCTTGGCATACATTATATCAAGATTTTATTTAAATTCTAAAACTTTACAGTAAAGAGCTGTGAAGTTTTAAACATGTCATTGTTGTAATGAGTGGTCCTGTGACCTGTGTGAGGTGCACAGAAAGTGTCTGCAGAGCTGATACCCTTTTCAGCAGAAGCTGAGCAGTAAACCACAGTGCATAGCAGGCTGAGCTTATCTGTGTGCATTGGTAGTTTTTGAAGCAGGACTGAAGTTTTGTGGAGAGAGAGCTTGCTGTAAGGTGCTTACTGTAACTTATATTAGTTTGTCATTTTTCTTTGTCTAGAAACTTGAACCTGCCAATATTGAACTGTTCTATCATTATCTCACAACTTCTGGTTTTGCTGCTGGAACAATTTTTGGATCTAAGCCTTCATATGTCTTTTCCAGAGATCAGATTCTGGTCTCCAGCTTGGTAGGAACAAATGTGCTTCATTTCTGCTGAGAAACCACTTGAGCCTATAGGTTTATCTGGTTTCTCACTGTTGCTTAATTCATCATCTTTACTTTTAAAATGTTATGATACCCAACCCAAGTTCTAGCTAGGTTTTCCTGGATTTGCTGTGACCTATCACAGATCTGTTAGGAGATTTGGAGCACTGGCAATACTCATAGCACAGGTCTCCATCAAAGAACAAGTCTGCTGTATTAATACTTAGCATACTGTGCCTCTTTCCACACTGGTGGTGTTCCAGCAGCAGATCTGGTAGATTTGCAGGAGCATTTACTTCTATCTCTTGCCAGAGTCCTTGCAAAATGTACAAAAGGCAGTTGTTGGACAACCAGATGGTTGCATCGTGTCCTAGCTGTAGAAGCCATTGGGGAGTAAGGGTGTATTCTCTAAAGATGGCTCTCCTCAACAAATCATTATGCCTTGTGTCTGTGTTACAAATACGGACTAGTGAGAGACCATCTTTATTTTGCTTTTATCCCTGTTTTAATATAGAAAAGAAGAAAAATATATAGTGGGCCAGCTGCAATCCACATTGTTGTAGAGCTTAAGGGTTCTGTAATGTAGGAGTTGAAGTTCAACAAAACCTCTAATTCCATCATTCTGCCTTGTATACAAGAGAAGTGTTCAGAAAGAAAATCTACGTGTCTGGCTTGCTCATCTTCTGTATGGCCAGCTATAAAATTGCCATGTACCCTGAGATGTGTTAGAGCCAGGCCCTGGACTACTTCTTAGAAGATACACTTTCTTACACATAAAAAGGTGTAATATCCTGAGCACAAGCACTTGAAAAGTGAATGAGTGCTTCTTGAATTGCTCCAGGATTAGCTTGAAAAAAAATTTTGAAAGCTTTCTCAGAATTTTAGTCCTTTTTTATGTCGCAATTGTGAAAGAAATACTGAGCTCTTTGGCACTGAAATAGATTTATTCCATAGCTTTAGAGATACTTTCCTTTTAAAAACTGAGGTAAATGCATTCGCAGGCATGCAGGTAATCTATGTGAGCAGCTGTTCTTGGGTTGAGCATTTTGACTGTAGTCAGTGGATTGTGATAATTCCAGTAAAAGAGTAAATCACAACCAGCTTACTATTGTTTCTAACTGCTCTATAGGGGTTAGCCTGGTGGCAAGTCCTAATCTTCGCTCATCTTAATGGACCTATACAAAATATCTATAACCTGCAGAGAAAGCTGCCCCTAGTCAGTGTTTCCATGCTTTGATGTTGAAAATAGGTTTTGCTGTAGTGTAAGCTGCCCAGAACCACATTCTTTATGGAGTGGAATTCCTGTAGAATTTTTCACCCAGTCTATTTTTTCTGCACACACATAAATGTCCACCCAGATCCGACTGATTACTTGCTCTTGTGATGACCTCTGATTATTTGGTTGGTTGAATACTTTCCTGTCAATGTAAGCTTTATATAGGTAGAGACTGCAAGGAAACACAGTGCTTTCTGGGCTTTCTGTTATGCAATGCAGAAGAGGGAATTTAAAGTAATACATGGAGTTAATGAAAATGTATGCTGTTTTCTCGTATTTGAAGGTAACAAGGCTTGGATATCCAAACCAAAAACTTCCTTTATTTCAAGTAGATGAATGTAGAAAAAGAAGTGTTGACCTACAAATCTATAAGCAGCGTTTTTTTGAAGCAGTGATACTAGGTACCCATACTGGCAGGAATTGAAGCTAAATGTGAACGCCAAGAGCAGTGGGAAGCAGGCAGTTCAGTTCTTCAGACACCCAGGCCCTGTGTAAATATTTGATCTAGTCTGTTATATTCATAGTTCCATAGTAGCCTTACAAACACTGACGTAAAAGTCCTGTGCTGGTCACTAAAGAATACCAGCATATCAATGGTTTCTCATACATGGAAATTTTCTCCAAAACAGGTACTTCAGCTAAAAGGAAGATCTTACTTTTTCTTTAGCTACATCTTGCCTCAAGAGCTTAGATCATCTTTAAAGAAAACCTTTCAAAGATTTTGTGTTGGTTTTAGTAATTCTGGACACACTGTTAAAAGCATTGCTCTGTTTCTATCTGCGTCCTGTAGAATACTTTCCATAATTTAAGGACTTGGTCTCTGCAAAAATTCTGTGTCATGAAATACAGTTTTCACATGTTTACAGGATAAATTTGTCCTCCTATTGTATTCTCCAGACTTAAAGGTATGCTAGATTTAATATCCTGTTTTCTCCTACCTTGGCTTGCCTCTAAAACCTGAAGCTGATGGGTTATCAGTAATATTATCTTGGACAAAACTCTTGAATAGCTAAGAAACTTTTTCCTAGCAAGGATAGTATCTCTTCAGGGAATGGCAGTTCAGTGTGTTAATGGAAATCTTACCATTTTGGTGAGATTCTGGGCCAGATGTAGTTCCAGGCCAACTTGGTACTGTTCTCTCATTCCTACTCTAAAGAGTTTTTGTGCTATCTATGGAAAGGAGTGTTGTTGTTTTAAAAAGATGACCGTCTCTTAAGAAAAGCCTAACAAAGCAATCAAGTTATCAACCTGAGAATGTTAGAGGCTTTTACAGAGGAACACTCCATAGGATCCATTATTAAAAATATTTTCATGGTGTATTGAGAGAAGTTGAACACTGGCATTTTTCATCTGGAAAAGGCTGCCTTTGCAGACCTCAGTTCCAAACCTCATCCACACTGAATACATGAGGGTGCATTAAAGCTTCTATTTTTAAGAGGTTGACTTGCCAGCTGTTTCATTGGCTCTGGATTGGTGTATTTATATTAGTACTGTCTTCCTTGTTCATTGTCACTTTGCCCAGGCTTGGAAGTTGTGTGTTTGGGGAATAGTGCTCACTTAGCCGAGCACACCGTGTCACCTTTAATAATGCGTCGTGCACGCTTCCTGCGTGTCTTCAGGGGATGCCTGACAGCTGGCCCCTGACATAGCCTATGCATTCAAGTGAGTACAAAGACAAGTTTAAATTTGTAGATTCTTCATTTTTTATCTTCCTCACTCCAAAATAAGTCGAAGTATAACGTGGAGTATCAAACCAATAGATACAGATGCAAGAGCTAAGCAGATACAAGAACCAAAATGGCTAGAGGAACAAAGGTAGTTGAATTTGCAGAACACGTTTGTTTGTTTGTTAAAGCAATAGTAATGTTTTTGTGCTTCTTCTGCAAAAAAGGCATACCCTTCTTTAGGAGAGAATAAGAATAAACTGAATAAACTAAATATTTAGCACCTGCATAGGTTCTTGAAAACACCTGAGACTTGTATCTGGCCTATGTAGTACTACTCTTTAAATTTGTAGAAGAAGGAAATAATAATAATGGTTGTAGCAACATCCTATATTTTGCTCAATTTAATTTTTTGAAGAGCATAGAATCACTTTTCAAAGTAATCTGAGCTACTAGAGGGGTAGATCATGGCCTAGGATCAGCTATTCTTTGAGAAGATTAATTTGTTTAGGCAGTACAATGAACCTAAGTGTTTCCCAAAAAATACACAAACAATATGATTACTAATGTCATGCAAAGGGAGGTTTATAACATGCCAGCATGAAAGATCTTTGCTAAGAGCATTTGTCTTAAGTGTCATATATGGAAAATCTGCTCTTCATGTTAAATGAGGGGAAAATGAAAGTATAAGTATTTTTCTGCAGAATCTTCTAGTAGTTCTGTAACATTAAACCTGGAAAGATTAAGTAATACATTACATAATTATTAACACTGAACTAGATTTTCATTGTGGGTCAGGTCAGAGCTCAAGCTCTGAAAGAATTGAGTTGTACAGATAAGTGATCACATGACTGGTCATACATTTTATAACTTCAGCTAAAAAGTTTTCAAGGTGATAAGAATGTAATCTCTGTGAAGTGAAGGTCACTTAAACCAATAGCCTAGCTCTGGTGGCTGGTAGAAAGGTATAAAAGGTGTTGGGCGAGATGGGAACAAAACAGGAGAATAGATGTGTGTTGGTACTTCTCTCAAGGTGCTTCAGTGGGCTGATGGCTTATGATATCCTGACTACTAAACTAAGATTCTTCTATGAGACTACCCTGGGCCAAGTATTATATCTTTTATAATCTCTTATGCTCTTTTCATCTGTGCTCTGCTGACTGTCCTTTTCCCCAGGGTTAAAAGAAAAACAAGCCAACCTGCCAACTTACCTGTGCATTTTGGAAAAGAAATCTTCTTTATCACAGGAAAGCTCTTTGTGCTTGCTTTATGATGTCTCCTTGGATTAGCAAAGCAATGCATTGATTCCCCTTAACCTTGTCCAAGATTTCCGTGTAGGTTCTGTTATACTGCAATTTGGAAAGATAATTATGTGGGTTATTTTGAAAACTTAGCCTTAAAGGATGGCAAAGCCAAAGAGTACATTTCAGTTCTTTGCATCTTGAAGAAGCACAGAGATCAAGCAACTCTCTTTTTGAAGTATCTGAAGTGTGTAGTGAGCTGTGTAGATATTTAGTCCATTTCACTGAAGGAACAGTATTTGACATAATTTCAGTAGTTTGGCCTTTATTCAGTGGGCTACTGATGATCAATACCAACTAAACAGTTCCTTCTACCCCATGCTGGTTAGACCTACCTCAAAAAGAAACTAAGCAAGGTACAAAAATTATCCCTGCTTATGTTTTAGCTGAGTATTATCTGTTACACAACAAATAATAACAAGCTGCTTTTGTTAAACCATTTAGACATGTTTGCACTAAATCTCATTTCCAAGACTTAGTACAGAAGTCTTTAAAAACTTTTTCATTTGTGTACCTGTGGAGGTTATTGTGTGGGAAGGGAGGTGAATGAGGAGAAGGATCATAGTAGAATATCTGAGGATTGTGGTCAAAATGTGTGACTCAGGAGTAGACAGTATTAATATAATATACTGCTGTGGGTCTGGATTTAAGAACTAAATTGGTATAATCCATAAAAATTCACTGTTCTTGGTATAGTGATGAAGTTGAAACCAGTTAACTTACTTGTTAAGGAACTAATTTTTTTCATACCAAAGCATTTAATTAGATTAATGGCACTAAAAGTGTAGTAATTTAGCTCAAGGACAATAGCTTAAAATAACTTACATATGAACCTGCTTTTTAGATGGTCAGACAGTCTGTCAGTCTTATTTTGTTACCTACATGATTATTCCATAATCAGTCTTAGAACAAACCTGTGCTCACAGGAGTCAGTCAAGCCCTGTCTCTTGGTATGTCTGAGATTTTTTGATTCACCCTTGAAATGTGTAAGGAAGAGCAGAACACTGTAAAGGGCTTTAAACTTATTTTTGTTTGTAAAATAAATTGTGCGATTTCATACACAGAAAAAATAGTTTAAAGCAAAGGTCTTGAAAACAATTTGAAAGAAGGTTTAGAATTTGCAAGAGCCATGTTTCCTTTAACTGAGAGTTCTGGAAGCACTTCAAAATTATGCCTAATCTCTTTTACTAATACCTTAAGCATACTCATTTTCTGTTTAGTTAGGGCACTAGAAAATAGTAAGCTTAGCTCAAAGGGGGGTGTACTAGCTACACTGAAGTCTGCAGACCCCTATGTCTAAAATACAACATTGAATTAAAAGTTATACCTTGTTCAGTAGGTTCAGGACTAAAACAGATTTTGGTAAAGAAAAGTAGTCTTACTCAAGGGTTAAGAAGAACTGAATATCAGAAAGGTCTTTGAAGATCTGACTAAATTCATAGTCCTTAACAGAAGCTGTTGAAGCCTCAACTGCTTAGTTATTACATCCACATCTTGCTGATCTGACTTGTCTGTTGACTGTTATGGAACACATTCACTCTGTATATTAATTTAATTCTGCCTTTCTTGTTGCCTTGTTCCAGTGGATGTGTGCCACACAGCAGGTTGATAATTCAGCTAATTTGCTGTGATTCATGTGATTCATGATTCCTCATTTGTGGACTGTCTTTAATCCTTACTTGTGTGTTACCGAGGCCTTCCTGTACTGGTCTGCATCTCAGTCTTTTCTGTGTTGGCTTTTGCTTCCTATGATAATAGTACCAGCTTTGACTGACTGCTTTTTCCTTCTAACCTGGCAACTACTGGGTTCTTCAGTTTTGATCCTTTACAGCCCCACCCATGCGAATTCAGTTCACACCCTGTCAGCTCAAATGGGAAATGTCTGTTGTGTCTGTTATGCACTGTGGATAATAATTTCCTTACTTTTATTTTCCTTGCACCTAATGAAGTTGGTTCTGAGAGCTGTGGAAAAAGCATGAGTTTTCTGAAATTCTTCTACAACCTTCGCTTTCTATTTTATTTTGCATGGTACTCTGGTCTTCTAAGATGAATGACAAGTCCACTATTAAGCCACTTCACTTTCATTTTGTTCAGTTAATAGATTCTCTCACTTTCTTGCACTAGCATTTCAAATCATCTCAGGGTACTTTATAAATGCTGTCACCATTTTTTTCCCATTTTGTCTTTTTGTACTGCTCGTGAAGTTCTCTGTTCTAGGAAGATAAAAGGTGATGAGTCAGGGATGTTTCTAACTACTTACTCAGATTAAATCCCTGGGTAGGCCTCCAGTTCAGGCTCTTTTCTCAGCTTCCTTGTTGAAGTACATATTTACTGTTTTACTTTCCTTAATAACTCCTCTTCCTATCTAAAAGTCTCTGGTAGCCTAGACTTTTCAGTTCTTAAACCATTTTATCTTCAGTATATTTTATATGGCAAGGAGGTTGTATGTAATAATACAATGCATATTGTCATCCTCTATACTGATTATTGACCACTTTTTCTATGTCTTTGGATTCCAATATTTTTGAGATTCAGCTTTATAATGCTAACTTGGAAATTCCTTCATAAATACTGAGTACTTTTCAAAATAAACTATTGATAGAGTTTGAAACATCTTGTAGTTCTAAAATTGTCTGAACAAAGTGAGAATGTTTGCCTTCAAATGAAGAAAGTCCTGGTATTGTGATATTTGTTTAAGAGGCAATGTTGTATTAAACATCTAAAATTGGAAATAAGGTTGCAGACACTGTGGATTAAGTTTGTCATGTCTGTGATAGAATTTTTATGAAAGCAAATTTCAGAACTTTTTAAAAGAAGTAGCGTTTTGAGCAGGGCACTGTGGTCAAGTTGCCTTGAGAAAGCAGTAGGTCTTAATGCTGTAATGCTGCCTTTTTGTTTAAAAAAAAAGGGCATTTTGTTGAAAGGATACTCTGTAATATTAATGTTCTGTGCTTCAGCGAGTTAATTTTCTATAGAATTGCTATTCTGTTTCTATTCTAGCAAGCTGTGCTGCAAATTGGTATATATATTTTTATGTATAGGGACTGGTGAATGAAATACATGTTTAGTTTATTAAGAAATGCTAATAAGTTCTTCTTCCTTTTCCTACCCAGTATGATGAATTGGTTCCTGCATCCCTAACAACCAAATATGGAGGGTTTTATATCAACACTGGCACGCTGCAGTTTCGCCAGGCATCTGAATCAGAGGATGAAGACTTTGCAGAAGACAAAAAGCATAGACCACCTAAAGTGAGTGATTTTAATTAAGGCTTTTATACAGAAATAGAAGCTAGGTGGACATTTGAAATATTTCATACACTTAGAATGGCTCAGATATAGAGTCCAAAAGCAGAATAATGCATGGTACTGTTTTATTGCATCTTCTGTTTTGTGGTTCATGAACTAACATTCAGTAACTAACTCAGAATGTCTGCAGGCTGTCCAGTCTTGTAAGACTAAGCATCTCTTTAGGCAGCCTGACAAGTTGTGTCCACCTATCTTGAACTGACAGATGATTTTGTAATTCTCTAAGAATTTTATTATACAAGATGAGACCTTAAACTCATCAGTATTGCTCTTAATGATTTTGCAAAAGTTTTCGTGATTTGAAATTGTTCCTAATTGTGAGAATTTTAAACCAATCATATTTTAAATCAAAATACCTGTTAAAATAAACTCAGTTGATAAGAATAGCTATATTAAAATTATATAGACAATTTTTCCAAACAGCATGCTATTCTATAAACTTCGACAAGTTACAGTCAATGCAAACATAATTGCACTATGGCATGCACAAGTTGCATGCCGTTTCTGAGAACTTAGTTCTTCCTGGTGTCCTTTCCTGCTCTATAACTCTTAATTTTAAGGTTCTTGTATTGACTCTCACTGGGATGCAGATAATGTTCTTTCTAGCAGCCTGTATGATGTTATGGTTTAGATTTGTGACTAAAATGATGTTGATAACTACAGAAGTTTCTTGTTGCTGGCTAATGCTTGTACAATCTGAAGGCTTTCTGTTTCCCTGCCCTGCACTCTCAGATAATATAAGGATCAGCAGGGGAGGGGAGGCAGGTGGTCTGTATTGAGCAGCAAAGATGTTTCATAGTGGGTAGCTTCACTGTCAGCAGTGAAACTTTGGTAGCCCAAGAAGGTGCAGGAATTCCATCTTCCAAGGTAGCCATTGGCCATACTGGCTGGGCAGCAGTGTGCATGTACCTTAGACTATTTCTCTTACTGAAAACTCTAAATTTCCTAACTGTTTGAAAACAATTCATGATTAACACTTGTCAGTAACTTCAGTTGCTGCTGGGAATCCATGATACCATTTGCCTTTACACACATTGAGGTGTTTTTCCTGGCCCTGAATTGGAAAGAGTAAAGAAAACTGAATGTTTCTTGCTGTAGAAGCATTTTAGGGTGGAAGAATCATTGTCCTTGATTTGTTCCCTTTTCTAGATAGCAAAGTTGAAAGAAAGTGAAGATCGTGGAATGAAGAAACGCAAGCGAAAAGATGAAGGGACAGAAAAGGAGAAGAAGCCTCGGAAAATGAAAGTTCCTAAGCAGTTGGGGTAGGTTTCTTTTTCTTGGTAAGAACTCTTGAATTATATTTGAGGCTTGGCTTTGAGGTTGTGTGCAATAGCAAGATCATTACAGCTCTTTTGAATATTGTGCTTTTGTACTGTAATTAATAGCTTACAGATTTTGTTCCAGAATTTGTATGGGACTTTTGTATGACTCAGTCCTACAGACTAAATTTTTATCCCCTGAAACTTTGAACAAGGAATACTAAGGAAAGACAAATCACAGAAAATAAATTTTGAGTATTATGAATAGCATAAAGCATTATTGTCTTATCCAACATCTAAACTAGCACTAGGAATTGCATCTTCTAATGAAAAATAATGTTCTTATTATCGCTGTTTCCCATCTGTAAAGCTGTAAATACAGTTTAATTATTCTACATATTTCTTACTGACCTTGTACTGAATTCTGAGGCTAGCATAGAAAGATTAAGAGTGTGGGACTAGATTAGGTGGCTACTAGAAAACTATTGTTCAGAGGATGGAGGCTGTCTCACTGTGAATATTCACATTGAATATTGAAAACTTATTGACCTCATTTTTCATCAAGGTGACAAATTAGTAGAAAATTCTCAGTTTAAACTAAGTAAAATACAGATTTTGAGCCTGCATTTAAATTTTTTTAACAATGAAAAGAATTTTAATGTATATGCTGTGCAGGCACCCTGTCACCATTAAGCAGTCTTGAGAGGCAAATTTAAGTATTTTAGTATTGTAAATCTGCTGTGAGTCTTAACACTTGTCCCAACTTCTCCATAATTAAATTGAGAAGTCAAAATGAAATAACCTTTGCCTTAATGTGTATAAAATGTAACAAATCAGTTGGAGAACGTGTAACCACGACTGCCTAAGGTTTACGGTAATTGATAAAATGGTCTGAAGATGCAAGCAGGAAGTACTTGCTTCTTCCCCCTGATAAATTTTAATTGTACTAATCTTTGAGGTGTGTTGTTAAAGGTTACTAAGGCCTCAAAAGTCACATGCTAACGGAAGATTTCTTTCCTCTACAGAGTAATGGCCTTAAATTCACACAAGTCTGAGAAGAAGAAAAAGAAATTATATAAAGATTCACTCTCTCTGGCTGCCATGATCCGTAAATTTCAAAAAGAGAAGGAAGCCATGAGGAAGAAGGAACCTAGTCCAAAACCTCCAGTGACTGTTGCAACCTCTACCCCTAGTAAAATTCCTTCCTCCTCTCTCAGTGCAGGAAATGATATCTCTGACTTGAATCTTAGGATCAATGATCCTGTCCTCTCCATTTTTGGTAGCACAAATGAACCTGAGCTCCTGCAAGAAACTGAAAGTGCCCTGGAGATGCTGGGAGATATTGACTTTGACAAGTTGCTTGATGGCACTTCTGATGGCAGCCCAGGGTCTGAACTGTCAGGAGAGAATGGAAATGTCACTCAGGCAACCTACACCTCTCAGGTCATGACACCCAAGCAGGTGCCTGCCCTCCCAGAAGGTCTGCCTATGCTACTTGAAAAACGCATTGGAGACCTTCGAACAGTAAGTATGAATTCACTGGTAGTGGATTACATTCAAGAACCTGAGAGAACAAGGAAGAACAATTAGGACCTTGAGTGTCATCTTTGAATTGCTGGCTGAAACTTTAGAAATGAAGAATTGATGTTAATGGCAATCTTAAAGGCTGTGTTTATATTCAGATGAAAACGGACAGAAATTATGCAGATCAATTATTTTAGCAGTGTTTCTTTCACAGTGGAAGCAGGGTTTTCTAAATCTTCTGTGTACAGTAACTTGTAATGTTCATTTATTTATGGGTTTTTCTCCATAATGGAAATATCAGTGTTATTTTAACATGAATTATGAAATTGAATGGGTGTTTTCTTACTTTGGAGGAGGTTACCTGAAATATGACTGCAGCTTAAAAATCCATGTATTGGTTTTTTGACTTTAACTTGCCAGTTAAAAAAAAACAAAAAAAAAACNAAAAAAAAAACCAAACAAAAAAAACCCAAGTGAAAAAATCCACCAAAACCAGAAACCACCACCAAACTACAAGACAAAAACCAACCAACCACAAAACTGAACTTGTTCTTCTGGAAGGTTAGAATGGAATCTGAGATCCTCAAAAATTGGATGAAAGATGTTAAGTTAACAAGTTATAAATATTCCAGTAAGTTATTGAAAGGGATCAGAGCTATTAAGGTATTACATATTCCTTGTTTCCGTTATGGATGTTATCCTAAGTTGAGAATAAATCTGTTGCTTGTTAAGATTATGATATTAAAGCTTTTCCCTACTTAGAATAAAGTGCAGCTTTTCCTTATTTAGTATGAAGTGTAGCTTTTCTTTACTCGTAGTTAACTGCTTTTTCAAAACTTACTTCCTTTTTTGGACAAAAAGAAAATAATTTAAACAATTGCTGAGCTTGCTTTGCTCTTAACTGTAGAAGTGTCTTCTAGTTTTCTTACTTTTAAACATACCAAGCTAAATACAGCCAAGGAATTAATATTTACTGAAGTGAAGGAGCTTCTGTCTGCCTTTCAGTATGCAGGTTAATTTTGCTATGAATCAACAATAAGCTTCTAGCAAAAGTGCAGAAATCGATTAGGTCAAAATTCATGAAGCGTTAGTGACCTACCCCAAGTTTTTTGACATTGCTTCTCTGTATAACAATCCCAAACCAGTGGGGAGGCATCTTTAATTCAGTGGCTCTTGGAAAACATAACTCCTCATAGAATCATAAAGTGCTTTGTGTTGGAAGGGCCCTTTAAGATCATCCTCTCCAATCCCCCTGCTGTGGGCAGGGATACCTTCCTCTAGACCATTTGGGAACTCTTCTATTTTTGACAGTGTCTTCTGAAAGCTTCCTGGCTAAGCAGAGAAGTTTATACTTGGAGAATCACTAGACTGTATGTTGTCTTAAAGATTGCTACTTCCATACCTTCTCTAAATTGCAATCAGACATCTTCTAAAAAGCACTAAAAATGAAAGAATCTTGTTAAATATTTACCAGACTCTCACAGCTTTAGATCTCTTTAGCACAAAGAAAAGTTTGTAAAGCTGTAGGAAGAAGCCTATGCTCTATGGATGCATATAGTATATCAAGATTAAAAAAGTAAGATTAGAAAGCCACTGACTAAAGGCAATAAAAACTTCCCAACTTCCTTTGATAGATGGATGTGTTCTAGTTCCCTGAGTGGGTTATTCTGTACTACCATGACAGAAGGCATTATTGTATATGAGAAGGAAAGTAAATAAAAGGGGTTTTTCTCTATTTTGAAGGTCACTGTCAAGATAATCACTCTGGAAATAAAACCCAACCATAGTTAGTAATAGTGATGAAGTTTATGAATCTGCCAGTGTTGCTCTCTTTAAAAGCCAGCAATGCTATTCAGCATAATAATATAATGCTGAAATTGCCTTTCAAGGTCTACCTGGCACCAAAATATTAAAGCTTTTTCTTTCTGCTTTATATAGACCAGATGATGACTCTAATCCTTGTGTTAATTAGTCATAATGGCACTAGTTTTAAGACTTTCTGACTTGTCTTTTTGGTACCCTATCACTTGCAAGCATCTATAATTGTTCTAATTTTTTTAGCAGGACAAATGCTTCAGTGTTCTTAAACAGGTAGTAGCATTCCCTCAGCAGCTGTATTTATGGTAGAAAACAATGGGTGGAATGCAATGCTTGCAGGAACTTTTAACTCCAATATCAGTGTTCATGACTGAAGCGATAAAGCATTCAGACAATGGCCTACCTTATGGCTTAGACAGTGTCACACTCTTTTCCTGTGCAGTTCACACAGGAAGAGAGGTAGAGTTCACGATTTTTAGAAAAGTTTTCTTTCAAATTTTGATGGGTCAGTTATAAGAGCAAGAACAGTAAGTATTTAATAGTAATAAATGAATTATGTTAACACCTGGACTTATTTGTCATTTTTAGTATGTAATTGCAAGTCACCATTCTTTGGGTTTTTTTAAGGACTCTTTTTCTTGACTTCTAAATTTCTCTAGAGTAGATGTACACTAGAGAGAGGTTCTTACTGATTTTTGTGGAATGGTACAGGGAATTGGCTTTGTCCTATAAACTGTCATTCCTTGTGGGTGGGGAAAAAAAAAAAAAAAAGAAGAGATCTAGGTGATAAGAACAAAAATAAAAGGATTCTGCATGGGAATTGCTGGGAGATCAATAAAAATTTCTGAGAAAAAGAACAAAAATACCAGGCAAAAATACTAAAGATACAGTCTAAAGATGGCAAGAATGCTAGACAGCAGCAGAAAAGAGTGATGAGGCATTCCTCTAGTACCTATAATCCCATTGTAGAAATTGCAGCAAAGGTTTGAGAGAGCTCTAAGAAAGCTGGAAAGATGTAACTGGATGAAGCACATAACAGGTAGAAAAAGATGGAGTAGAAATGTGTTAGTTAATGCTCTTGCCTTCTTGATCTGTCAAACAATGCTTCTCTTTTTAAAACAGAGATACTAGAATGTTGGTGGTGGTGATGGTGATAAAGCATCTACCATTATCTTAATGGTTATTCAAAAGATGAATGTGTTTACATCAGTGATCCAGGCAGATCCTAAACAGAATGATTGTCTGCCCTAGAGCAAGGTGTGTATATTTGAGTATAACAATAATAATCATCAGTTTTTTTCTAAGCAGCTGAGAATAGCTTGGTTTTCTTTATTTTTTTTCCAAGTAACATTTTCTGGGAAATAAGAGTATGATGTGGCTGTGAAAGTAAACATACAAAGACTGTTGGTTCAAAATGCTCTATGAACTTGAATGCTTTTCTTTAATTGTATTTCCAGGCTGCCAAGATGTTTGATGAAGAAGGCAGGAAGAAGTTTTTCACACAAGACATGAATAATATTCTTCTGGAGTAAGTGCTTATCTGTAGAACCTTCCCCATTTTGGAAAGGGGGTGAAAGGAAAAATACAAAAGAGGAAGTATTATTGAGGTTGTTCCAACAAATCCCATAGAAGTCAATGAAGGTAGATCAGTCTAAGCTAGTTATTAGCTGAAGAGAATTATATATGCATACAATTCCTGTCATGTTTGTCTGTCTTTATCCAGTGTAGAATGTTTTGTAGTACCCTGGTCCTTGACTTCATGTGTAAAATTCAACAAAATTGCCTTTATTTACTCCTGTCTCCCACTTCTGGTACTCAAAGGATCTCAGCTTTCATGAGGGCAAACACCAGATTTTTTTCTTTGTAATCTTCAATTAAGGTTTAATATAGGAGGTTCTATGTTGATATTCTAAGAAATAAGAGTAATCTTTAGAGGACTATAACAGTCAAAATGTATCAATTTTGATTCACAGTGGTGGGTGTAAATTAATTTGAATGAGTGTTCAACATTGCTGGACAAGTACATACATGAATGGTTTCTTGCCATTGATTAGGACTTCTTCCTTTTCTAAAAAAGCTTATCTGAAAGTATCCCAAGCTGCTATTTTTCGTATGCATAGACAGAATATGCTATGTTTCTAAAGCTTCCTTAGGTTTTTGTTCAGATGTCATCTTTACCTTGGAGTGTGCCTCTGAGTGTCTCCTGTTTGTTTGTCAGTATTGAGCTGCAGTTACAGGAGGTGAATCCTGCCATCCGCAATGGAGTGTACTCACACCTGGAGGCTTTCGTGCCGTGCAATAAGGACACGCTGATAAAGCGCCTGAAGAAGTTACACCTCAATGTCCAGGTAATGATGGGGAGAGGAGCTCCAGCAGGAGTCAATTATGTGACAGCAAGGAGGACTGCAGCAGAGTAGAGCAGTAGCCACACAGCCTCAAATCAAGAAAAATATTTTGTATCAGTTGCTAGATAAGTTTAAAAGCTTCTTTCCATATAGGTGATATTGTCACTACGTTAGGAACAAGTATTTCAGAGTCTTTGTTTGAGAATGAAGTGCTTTCATCTTGAAAGCTGGATACAGGCTATTAAGGAATGTTTCTGCTGTCATCATTAAGTATTACTGTAGTCACAGGGTACATATCAAAGCAGCAGAATTAGAAAGCCACAGTAATAATGATTATGATAGGCTAAAAATTCATACTTTTGTTTTCACTTTTGTGTCAACAAAGAAGGAAGGCTACATGGATAGTAGATGATCCAGCCTGTATTATTTGTTCAAATTTCCTTTTGTGGCTAGGTCTTGCAAATACTTTGTATGCCATTATTAGTTATTTTGCTTTTGAAGATTGTTTTCCTGTTGAATAGAAAAGTTATCTGTGATCTAAACTACCCTGACCAGATTCTTTAGATAAAATCCAGGGCTAAGTCTTGCAGAGGATCTGAAGGTGAATGTAGAGATCTCAGTGCTTGCTAATAAGGCAAACAGATTCAAACACTATTTCTAGGCAGGTAAACATAAAAGAATATTCTAGTTCTTTTCAATAAGCAATTAAAATTAATAATGTAAAGTCAGAAGATGTAGAAAGTGAATTTAAAACATGTAGCAAAGTGTATAATATTTTACCTTAATGTTTGAAATTTCTAATATTTTTATTAATGTTTTAAATACATAGTCCTTACTTTTCAGGTACATAAATTGCATGTAATAACAATCCACTAATTGGATAATATAATACATACTCATACTGTATTCATTATCTAGGATGTTTTTATACCACAATTTTTGGAAACCTGATTAATAGGCTATTTATTTGTAAGTGGTGAGATATTGATTGGTCAGTTTATTTCACTTTTTCCCCCTTAAGTTTTTTTCCCTTCCCTATTTTAATTTAAAATCATTATTTAAAGAGAGCATGCCATAATGTCTTAGAATGTTCATGACACATTTATTTGTGACTGTGCTTTGTTGTTTCTGATCTCAAGACTTGCATGCATTTATATAATGCTGTTGCAACTAACAGGATTCAAGTGCCATGTAGAAATGTCTGTCCCAGTCCATAAATAGTACTGGGAATGTTACCTTGGGAGTGATCCAGAAATTTTCATGAGACTATTTGAAATGCTCTTTATTTTACATCTAATGGGATTATTTTGGTACTCCTCTTTTCACAGGATGACCGCTTGAGAGAGCCATTGCAGAAGCTGAAACTGGCTGTCAGTAATGTCATGCCTGAGCAGTTATGCAAGTATCAAGAGGACTGTCAGGCCCGCAATCAAGCCAAGAATGCCAAGTAGGTTATTCTGGAGGCTGTACAAGCCTATTTAGAACCCAGCTGGAAGTTTGTAACCATGTTGTTACTTCCTTAGCTCAGAAAATCACTCAGCTCCAGTTTAAGGGTATCTTTTTTTTAATTGTACAAAATACTTAATTTTCTGTAAGTATTATTGTCAGACATCAGAGAGAAATTCCATAAACTGAGTGAGATAGGTCTTGATAGAAAAAATAATCTGAAACATAACTGGTTAATTCCTAAAATGGTGGATTAATGGAGGAGTATAGTGTGTTGAGATTACTGATATACTTTGTCCTTGTTCATTGTTATTGTTTGGATTATAGTTAACTAATTTTAGACTCGGAGCGGTATTAATAGTTTAATAAGTATCCTGCCACTTCCCAGTAGAGACATTGCTTGAAGCTCATCAGTGAAAGCACCTGTACAGTGTGTCCTTTTCACTTGGCTGAGACCCATAAGGCAGTGGGGTGAGGGAGATAAAACTGTTTATCTAATAAGGAAGTATAGCAAAAAATCTTAAACAGGTCCTCTGCGGGTTATTTTTTCCCCCAACACCTAGAAGGACAATCATTTTTCAATTACATATTTTGTCTGTGTAGTATAATTCTGAAGAAAATAATTGTTCCAACTGTAGGTTGCAAGCAGAAGATGAACGAGAGAAAAATGGATCAGAGGAAGATGATGACGAGAAACCTGGAAAGAGGGTTGTTGGACCCAGAAAGAAGTTTCACTGGGATGACACAGTGAGGTAAGACAAAACTACCTTTTCCACCAAGAATTTTCACTAACTTTATAAAGTGATCTCCAAGAGGATGACATTACATGATACAGTTGAATAAATAATTTTTCCCAGAAGTACACCTTGGAGAAGTTTTGAAGGCTGTTGGTGTTAAATAGGCAAACTGGAATTCTGTAATGGTAAAACATCTTCATCTTTAACTCAAAAGGAAAATCATCCTGTGTCCAGCCCTTTCCAGTTTCACTGCTTGTTTTTTTGCTTTATCCAAATAGATGATAATTTTCTGACTCCAGGACTTTGAGCCTCTTTAGGTAAAGAACAGGTGTGTAAGCAGTGTTATAACTGCTTCCCACCTTTCTAGGAATAAATTACAAAACACCAACAAGCACTAGAGATTTCTGCCATAGGAGGACAGACCATCAAAACTGTTGATAAGGATTTTGGCAAGCCTCCCAGTCCAGCAACAACTAGAACAATGAAATCATCTTAACCCCTTCTGTTCCCTCTGAACACAAGTTCTTTATCTCTGGACAGTAGCACAGATTCTTACTGAAGTGATCCGATACTAGAGTTTGGTTTCCTAGAACAGATTTTTCTGAAAACTGAGATGACTATTACTTAAATAATCTAGACTTTTAAGCAAGCACATCTTTCTAAATTAGTAATTTCTCATGAAAGATCTAAGATAATTTTAGTACAAGTGTGTGTGTATATATATGTATGTATTACTAAAAGGGGCTGGTGGACTTCCCTCAACAAGTCTTTTAAGTATATGAAGACAATAGGGAAGAAAGCTTAATGAAATATGTACAAGCAGTATAGCTTGGACTGAACTGGAGGGGAGGGAGATACTTAAATCTGTTGCTTTTTTTGTTCAAGAGACTCTGTAAGGATGATGTTACTTAATTGTGCACTTTTATATTTTTAAGAACAAAAGACAAAATCCCTGTCAGAAAGAATCCTCTGTAGAAGTACTCAGTGTAGAATGGATTTCACTTCCTTTCAGACAAATCAGAGGTCACTATGAGCAGAGTGAAAGGAGATGTTCCAACTGTGAGAAAACCACAAAGAAAATGTAAAACAAATTACAAAATGATAGGATGAAAATAAGAGTAAGAGTCTGTTGGAAATGGAAAAGTGACAATGGTACAGTATACCAGTTTGTAGTAGCAATGGTTTGTGCAGTATAAACTTCCAAAAAACACCTGGAACTGAGCACTTCCTACAACTATCAGTAGACAGCTTCAATTTCTTAACATTTTTCTGCTGAGCTTTTGAAAGGACTTTGTGTCTTTCAAAATGTATTTCTTTTGCTTCTTTTTGCAGGTCTCTGTTGTGTAATCTTGTCAAGATCAAGCTGGGATGTTACGAGCTAGAGCCAAATAGAAGTCAGTCTGCTGAAGATTACCTCAAAACCTTCATGGAAACAGAAGTGAAACCACTTTGGCCTAAAGGCTGGATGCAGGCAAGGTGAGATAACTGCTTTGGATATCTAGTCATTTTGGTGTAAATTATTTCTCTGGTTCCTCTTTATTGTCTTACATTTTACTCAACCATGTACTATTGATATTGGTTGGAACTTAGGCGTGTGTTTATGAAGCTGGAATAGTTTAGAAGAGCAAATATTTTTCTAAAATTAATTTTCTGTTGTGTTTTTAAGCCTGATACTGAAAAAACCCTCTGTTTTCCTTGGACAGCTATTTGCTTTTATCATCTCCTAGAGACTGAATTTGCTGCCACTTCTAACACAGCATGAAGCATGATGCTTCATTTCAGGAGAAGTATGAGGTGGGAGGGTAACAGCTTGGAAAGTTCTTTATGTGATAGAGGAAGTGATAATGATCTAGAAATCAGTTTTGCCTGTATGTTGGAACACTGCATTATCAGACTGCTCACACAGGCTTTAAAATCACAAGCTAGAATTTCAATAGCAGTGTTCACAACAGACTTAAGGTTTTTGCTCTCTATTTCTTGTTTGCACTTGGGATGCCCTGTTTTACAGTAGTTAAAAATACACCAGATTCTATACTTGCTTCTTACAGATGTAAGAAGAAACAACCATACATAAGAGAGGGAGAAATAAAATGGGAGCAATAGTAAACTGCTTTGAAACACAGGTTTGGCAGCGATTTCTAATGGTTTGGAGTGAAAGAGGAGCAAGTATGGTTTGGCCTGAGTTCTTTCTCTCTTTAGCAACCACTGCAAAAGATAATTTCATTAAACCTCAACCTGATTGTAAAAGCTAAATGATACAACTACTCACCTTGCTCATGAATACCTGAATTTTAGTTTAATCAAATCTATATCAAGCTGTAAAAATAACTGTACTAGATATTTCTGAGATCAGTCAGTGTAGAAATATCTGGTCAAATAGTAACAAAACAAACAAATGAAGTTTTATACTTCCTGGCATACAGCTGACTTATTTTTGTCCAATTTTTTAGTTTTTTGTGTAAGTATGCTAATGACTGAGATGTTGTCTGTTATGGAGATTTTATTGAATTAGATGAGACAGAGAATCCCAGTTTAGTTTAAGAATGGAAGATAAGACAGATCACTGATGATAGTGGAGAAATAGTCAAGAGATAGTATGAGGTGATTCAAAAATATATAGAAGTGAAGCATGTTAAAATTTTGTATTGGAAAGCCATAAAACATACAGTTCTCTCCTTTCCATTTGATAAGTCCACTGAAAATTTTTCTGAGCTTTTAAACTATCCATAAAATTGGCTTCAACAACAAAAGACAAAAACTAAACAAAAAACCAAAGTGCCCCCCAAAACCACCAACAGACCAAACAAACCCCAACAGGTGACAGATCATAACTTCCTGTCAACCAGCAAGATTTAATTTACTAATGGGGTGGTTTTAGTACCATAATGATTTACAAATTGTCCTGTATCTACTGGGTGGCACTTTCCTGCCTTCTGTTAAGGAAGTGGTGTAATGTAATTTGTAGGCAAACAGGTTTGCATAGAAAGAGGAAAATAAAGTATTTCTTGGAGTCTGGTAGTGGTAATTCCTAATACAGCACATAATTTGTATTCTGAATGCTCATTTTGTTGGGATGTTATGTTAGGGATTATGCTGAAGGCTTATAATTTTTTCGTTTTTATATGTGGCCTCAAGTGAGAAGGACCTATATAAACTTGGGGAAAAAAATTAGGTATTTAATGCTTAAACTGATCTACTGACCATGTATTTTTAAGGAATTCTTACTAATCAGAATAGTGTATGGTACCAGAACTTTCTGGGTGAAGCTTAAAAGAAAAATTTCTTGCACTTTCAAAGTTAATTGTATTTAATGTTTCTTGTAACTTCATAAGGAATGAAGAGGTAAGGTATTGATCATAACTGGAAATAACAGAATCAAAGGATTGTTAAAGGTGCAAGGGACCTCATATACTACCCTGTATTTTCTTTGTATGTCTGATTTCTGTACTTCTATAGTACTTAAAATTTTGTTTTTAATCTTGAAGGCTGATGCTACAAATTACTGGGGCCTGTGATTAATTTTGAATTTTCATTTCCAAACTGAAAAGATTAAGGAATGGATAAAGCACCAAGAAGGAGGTGGGAAGGGAAATACTCTGGAGAAGCTGTATAGGTTGGGAGGTGGCACATTAAACATTTAATGAGGAATATTGATTTTGCTCCATGATGTTCTTCATAGGCGTTCAGTAGTCTCTGATGGAACAATGCAATACAGATTTGGAGGTTAGTGTGGTGAAGAAAATGTGAACATGGAGCTGGAAATAGAATCTGAGAAGTAAGGCACTGAACTGTAGTGAGAGGATCAGTGTTTTCTTACCAGATGGCATGAGATTTTTGGTTACTCAGATATTTTGTAATTATTGTAGCTCTGCAGGCTGTATTATCAGTGGTGAAAAGCACTTGTTTAGACAGCTGTTCATGATGTGGTCAGTGTCAATGTGATGGCAGTGCTGTAAGAAAATGTTGTCTGTCCTAGTTTGCCTATCTGGAAACAAGGAAGATGACCCAAGTTTTCACTGTCTATTCATAGCTGCATTTGAATAGTAAACTGTAGGGTAGATACAGGTCAGCAATAATTTTCACTTTCGACTTGGCAAGTAAGGAGCTGAAAACATTGAATAAAAGCATGGCAAGTTTTGAGATTGGTCACACTGGCTCCTGCCATTCCTTGGCTCTGTAGTAATATGTATGTGTAAGTCCAGTGTAACTAGAGTTAGAGAAGTGATACAAAATAGCCTAAAGTTTTTATTTTATTAAAATTTCAAAACCTTTTACTAAAGTTTTTTCAGTACTAAAAGTACTGAAGAAAGCTAGAAGCAAGCTTGGCTACTGTGTTTGGCCTTTTATCTTCTGTGCTTTTAAAAAACCCCACAAGAGATTAATAACTACAAATCCAAGCCTAGGGATCATTGTGTTGGATGAAGAGTTTACAATAATCTTTTATTTTATATTTTAACTATTTCATTCATCTTTGAGGAGAGAGCATTCGAAGTGTATTTCTTCTGTCCTGTTGAAGGAAGTAATATTCTCTTGTGTTGATTTTTGCTTGGTCATTTACTGAGGTATTTTGAGCATAAATGCAAATTATTACAATTTTTTAGATCTTCTGTTCATGGATGCCAAGACCTATACCATGACAGCATGGCAAAGTAATCATTAGTTCCCTTGGGGACAGATAATCAAAGGCTGGTTCTGAAAACCAAAGGATATTTGGATATTTAGTGGTCCTATGCTGTTTGTCTTTGTAGAATAATTTCATGTTTCTTTTCTCACCACTCTTTTAGGATGCTTTTTAAAGAAAGCCGAAGTGTTCACAATCACCTCACTTCTGCTCCGTGAGTATAACAGGGACAACATGCTTTACAAGATCTTTAGGTTGTGCAGAGCATCTTTTCTCATCTTCCTGCTACCTATTTTAGACAGAGGGAAGGAAAGGGAGGTACTTTGGGATTTGTTTGAAGATACTTATAATCTTCTTTAATGCCTCTAATTTAGGCATATAACTGTAACGTTCTTGTGGCATTAAATTTTAACTCACTTGAAAAGTGTCTAGATAACTCCAGAGGTATTAATGCTTGAATTAATACCTTTTACTCAAAGCATTACACACTGCCTAGTTTTTGACATTCAGCCTATTAAACTGAACTTGGACTGCAGTACTTCCTGCTTTTTTCTTTTCCTCAAAAATATCCCTAATCACAGAAGTCTGTGTATCTTATTGGGATTTTATCTTCTTTATTTTCAGACAACACTGTGTGCCTCTCAGGAGCTGTCCATATTCAGACAGGATTCAAATAAATTGCTACAACTTTAAATAAAACCCCAGTTGCAACTTTTGTGATAAATGTGATTAGCATAGGGTATTTTTCTACATAACATCAAAACTGAGTCATGGTCCACCTACAGTAAAGTCTTTTTTTAACCAGGTGTATTTCTAGTTGCTTAGGAAAGGATCAAGAATTGCCTACAAGATGTAAATCTGCTGATTACCCTCGAAGAAATAAAGTGTGAAATGCTGAACCTATAAGTTGAAGCCGATAACTAATGAGCCTTAATACTGTCCTTACTTGCATAACTGCAGTTTGCATACTTGCAGAAGAAAATCTGACAGTTTGCTAAATTACTTCTTGCAACAAACAAATCAGATACAACTGTTTTAATAGTTGATAAGCAACAAACCACTTTTGTGGGGGAAAGAAACAACTGTTTTTATCTGGTTTGAAATAAATGAGAATAGGAAGCATTCTCCTCAGGGACAAAAATGTCAATGTAAAAAGTGAAATTATATTGCTATTCTAGAAGACTTCAGTATAGACTAAGCTGCACTAAGTAGACAAACTCATAATATTAAGAGGCTGAAATTAATTGATAATTTTGAAGTTCTTCTAAATCAGAAAAATAAAACCAGCTCTCTGGATAGACCCTGATCTATATGTCAGGTTATATCATCAATTCAGTTGACTTTGCAACTATTTACATAGGGATGCATGATCAGAAAAATGAACTGATAGTGTGTTATTTTTCCTTCCCCCCTATATTTTAAACCATGTTCCATTTCAAGGACGTCTTATTATTAAAGCTGGACTCCTGTAGCCATCATTCTAGTTCATTGGGGTGTAATCAGGGTAACACTTAAAATGTCAGTAATTTTCTTTTTTTTTTAGTCTTGATGCACATTTTATCCCTTCTGTTTTAGGGCAAAGAAGAAGGTGATTCTGGCCCCTAAACCCAAAGTGAAGGTAAGAGCCTATTAAGATGTCTGAATATCCAGTTAATGGTCCAATGTGACCATTTGATACAACCTGTTTCTGCCTCTGATCCTGAAAAATTCTTGCAGAAGGTTTGTCAGGCAGTGCTTATTGACTTGGTGGTGGATTACTTTCAAGAATGTAGTATAAAATACCTCTGTATAGCTTTGCTACTTTAATCTGTATTAGTTTTTTGAAAATTGACTATGAAAAGGTACTAGTTCCAGTGATGTTTCACATTTTTGAATGTGTGCTTTGTGTGTTTTCAGTATGTGTTAAACTTGGCAACACTGGAAACCAGTACGGTTGGAAGGATACCATAGTATAGAGGTCCTCATCTGACGTGACCAGGTGTTGTCTGAATTCAGTAGCAGTTTTACTAAGTGATCAGATTAGCTACCCTATTCTTCATAATACTAGTTGTTCTTCACTGTGTTGGACACTTTCAGTTATGTGGAGCAACAACGCTAGATTTTTAAATCCAAATATTGAATTAGCACATGGGGTTCCAGCACCTAGGTATCATAAGTATCTTAATATGAAAATTTCAGTAGTAGATCTGTGGTTTGTCTGAATTTACTGAATGAAAGTATTACACTAAAGATCACCTTAAATCAATTTCAGAAAGACTATTAAACCTGATGTTTCTTATCCCTTCATTTTCAGGACTCCAGTCCAAAAAAAGAACAGAAAACCTGTATGTCTTCAGTCAATTCAGGTTGTGCTTCTGTACTGAGTTCAAGTGTAGCTGTGTGCACCCCAGCTAGCTCTAGCTGCACAGCAGCTCCGGAGACGATCTGCTTGGATGACTCGCTGGATGAAGACCTCTCTTTCCACCCACCCTCACTGGACTCTGTTTCTGATGCTCTGGCAGTTATCAATAATGGTGCCAAGGGATCACCTCTTGGGTCTACCATAGACACACCAACATCCAGACCTCGCCCTGGGCTGAGGGAGGAGAAACTAGCAAGCATTATGAGTAAGTTGCCTCTGGCAACTTCAAAGAAAGTAGAGCCCAGTCAAACATCCCATTCATCAAGTCTTATTGCTGGTCACACAGGGCCAGTACCAAAGAAACCCCAGGACTTAGTTCACACTGGTATCTCTTCAGGCCTTATTGCTGGATCTTCAATTCAAAATCCCAAGGTTTCCTTAGAGCCTTTGCCAGCCAAACTACTTCAACAAGGACTACAGAGGTCAAGTCAGATCCAAGCTGCTTCCTCCTCTTCTCAGACTCACATTTCTTCCTCTAAGACTCAAGCAGCTATTTCCACCTCCTCTCAAAGAACCAAGGATATCTTGGTATCATCTGCTGAGGCTCAAGGTGGTACTTCCTCAACATCACAAGTGACAAAGGTGCACCAGCATTCAGCTGTACAACAGAAATACGTATCTCCCTTACAAGCAACTATTAGTAAATCGCAGACCAATCCTGTGGTGAAATTGAGTAGTAATCCCAAACTCTCTTGCTCATCACCAGTCATCAAGGCTCAAGATAAATCTGTAGTGTATCGCCTGCCTTTGTCTAATCCCTCATCCGGAAGTGGCTCTCAAGTGTCTCACCCACTGGTTTCTCGGACAACATCCAGCACCTCTACCTCTAGTAACTATTTAGCTAAGGCTATGGTGTCACAAGCTTCTTCCCAGGGTTTCAAACCTCCCTTCTCCATGGCTGTCTCTCCCAAACCTGCTGCCTCTCCCAAGCCCACTTCATCTAAGCCCTCTGTGACACCGAAGCCCAATGCATCACCTAAATTTTCATCCAAGTCCACCTCATCCCCCAGGCCTGCAACAACACCCAGTTCTTCCAGTTCAAGTGCACTAGTTTCCCAGAGTAGTCACTCCAGCAACAACCCCCTTCATAAACAGGCCGGTGGTGTAAATATCAGCAGGCAGTCTCCTACAGTGAATTTGCTGTCCTCTAATCGCACCTCAGGCCTTCAGCCTGCAAAAAACCCTCAGGCTTCTTCAAAATTACCAAACTCTTCTCCTTCTGGAACTGTTGGTAAAAATAATCTGGGTGGAGTTGGAATGAATGTACCTGCCAGCAGAGGCAGTAACCTTAACTCAAGTGGAGCTAGTAGGACTAGTCTGTCTGGGGGAGCAGGAAGTGGAACACAGGGTGCTACTAAACAATTGTCAACTCCACACAGACCGTCTTCTGCCTCAGGGTCTCCAGTTGTAGCAGCCAGCGTGCAGGTATGCATTGAATAAGCTCACATTTGAGCCTTACATTAATGTTTATCACATTTATTTTGTAAACATTCTTAGTGTATTCTATCTTGATTTGTAAATGTCATAAATTTATTGTTTTACCTTTCTAAGCATAATGCTGATACTGATTAAACTATTTCACACTAAAGAATATGTATTTCCAGCTGATGTGAAATGCAAGGATCAGTGTGGAACAAATGCTCACTGTAAACTGTTTCTTGGTCTATACTGTAGAAAAGAATTCACTTTTTTCTTTTAACAGCACTAGAAAAGGTAAGCTTTGTGTGACCATATTTTCAGGGGATGTGGTATGTACTTGGATTAGTTGATTTGTGTATTCTCTCATATTTACAAATTTCTAATGATGGTCATACAAAAGGTGTCTTCATTCATTTGTTGTAAGGCTTCGTGATTAGCGTCAAAACCAGAGTTCAGTTGCCTGTGGCTGAGTGTAATTCAAGACTTGTAATTAACACTTGCAAGGGCTTTTCATTTGTGTTTGTGACTATGTATTTTATTTTATAAGATCTAGTCAAACTGAATGAGATGCCCCATTAATGTATAAATACCCTAGAAACTGAAAGCTTATACTATCACTAGAGACAACGAAAATCAAACAAAACAAATATTTTTAAAATACCGTTATTCTAAAACATACGAACCTATTGTTTACCCAGAAGACAACCTGCTTTCCCAAGCTGTGCTCTTTTTACTGAGAATCCTTAATTACTGATATGATTTGATGTTTTCCTCTCTCTAGTGCTTTCTATGCTGAAGTCATCAATACTTAAGAAAATTAGTATTGTTTTAAATTATATTATTGGTGTACAGCAAATGAAAAACTTAGTACTATTCTGAACAATGCACATAGTATTATTCTGAACAGTGCAGTTGCATGGGAGTGATGTATATTTGACTTCTGGCAAAATTTTATAATCTTTTAGTTTGCCATCAAATTGTTCTTAATACAGCTGAATACCAGGAGGAAGATGATTTTTGCAGGACACTTCCATGGTCTTTCATCCTACTGTACTGGAACAGTCAGCAATAAAAGTCTGACAGGCTCTGACACAGCATTCACTTACACTGGGTACTTTGAATGGCAAAAAGACCCCCAGACTGTGCTGTGTACAGGCCATCGAGGTACCACATAGGGTCTGGAGAAAAGCTGAACCAAGTTCAGTGCAGTTTGAGTACGCTTGAAGGTGCCTGGAGGAGACAAAAAGGGCTACAATGAATGGACTGGGAAGAGAATTGTTTCTTTATGGTGCAGTCAGCAGAATTCAGTGGATGCAATGGCTGTGATGTATAACAAAATGGTAAATGGGTGTGGTAGTGCTTAAAGGTGACAGAGAAGGGAAGCAAGCAGTGTTGTGCTGGATGATGATATGAATTCAGGCAAACCCTCCTGTAGTTGAAGGCAAGTAAAATTTTTGGTTACAAACAAAGATCACCCGAGTAATGAAATCCATTTTGGCCACAGTCCTTCTGAAGAGCACTGAGGTGTGGGGGTGTGTGGTGAATAATCAAGTAACATGAGTCCATACTATAAAACAGCAAAATAAGGTGTGTTGATATATAGAAAGGGGAAAAACAGCTGGAGGTACTGAGCAGCATATGTTATCAGTAAAATAATTATTGAGACCTTTAATGTGGGCTTCTCGACACTTCAGAAATTACTTTCATAACCTAAAAATGGTTTAGAAGAACAGTATGAAATCCAAGAAGATAAACCATGGAATAGGCTATTACTGCTGTGCACTGTGAAGCTTAGTCAGTGGAGTACATTCAAGGAAAGATTAGAATTAAATTGCCTCGTAGTTCAAGTACATTAAAGGGGAAGAGATGTGTGATAACAGAGGTTTTTATTTAGCTATAAAGGTGTAATGGCTGGCTGCTGAACCAACATCAATTCCAGACTAGTTGTTAGGAACAATGTACAAAGGACTTATTTACTCCTCTCAAAACTTCACATAAAACTGAATCTCCTTTCTTTTAAGGCCTTAGGATTTAATTCCTATTTGAGATGCTGTTAGAAGATGAGAATGGTATCTGCATTGCTCATTATAATATTCTGGTCTGCTTACATTAAAGATGAAACTAGATTATTTTGTGTAATAATAAAGGTGTACTTAACTAGGAAGCTTCCAAGAAGCATTTCCCTATTTTCCACTTCTGATTGACACAATTATTTACCAGAACACAAGTATATACCTACTGAAGCCTCACAGAAAGTTCCATCTTAAGGACACAAAGCCAAAGAGTACATGTGGGATTTCCTTTAAAAGTGCTACCTACCATTAGTACTCTTGAGCAGAATCTGGCTTATACTTCTAAGGTATCTGTGGGACCAGGATGCACCCTTTTAAGAGCTATTGTATATGAGTTAAATAGAAACATCTGAACTGCAGTTCCTTTAGAGCATGCTCTGTACCTCTTGCCTTCACTGTACTTCTCTCTCCTTTTTTAACGAGTAAGCAAGGTCTTGGCAGAGCACTTTACAAACTTCGTTTTCAGGCATTTTACAAATTCACAGTTGCAAAACATTACTGTATGGCTTTTATTTTGTTGCCCTTTACTAGATTGCATAGACAATGAACAGTTGTCGATTTTTTTGTATATAAGCTTATTGTGAAATTAGTACTTTTAAAGGCAAAAGAGAATAACAGTGTGTTGATACTTTTCATTCTTTTTTTTCTGCTTGTGGGATAGAATATGTTGTAGAATTTGGTACCTTTAAGATGACCATTATAAACACTTGCTAGGAACATCACCTGTAGGTAAATTCCTTTTACAGGGCCACTGTTTTAAAATAGTGTGTTTTCTCATAAGAAAAAACTGTCTGTTCTTTAGCTGCTTTCATTGAAATATCTTAAGACCAAAACTGGTAATAAAAAATTATCCATGCTAGGAGATTTCATGACTTTGCTTTCTCTGTGAGTTATTACAGAACTCAGTGAAATGTCATTTTCATTTTAAGCTCATGTGTTCGTTAAAATTGTTTTAAATTTTGGGTTTAGCTGACACTTACTTGTAAAAATGCACAGATTTGAAATCCTATTTCATCTGAGTCTTTTTAATTCAAATAGCTACACTATCTGAGTTGGAGTCTGATTCAAAATGCTTTTTGTACTAACTGTTTTATAGTAGATGCTTAGAAGACTGAACATTAGCATATGAAATTACTGTATATGCAGTGAAGGAAAGATTGTTAAACAAGAATGAGCTGATCTAATATTAGAGGAATTAATGTGATTTGGAAGCAGTTAGATAAAATGTAGATAAAATGTTCTTGCTAATCTTGCATTTTTATTTTAAAGCTCAGTGAATTTAACTTCATTTTGACGTTTATAGTGGAGAGATTATTTTCCTTTGCCTTTTCCTCTGACATGTGCATACACACCTCTACATAGATATGTATGTATGCATTTTGCTAACCTAGCTTCTTAAGTTTGGGGATTCTTACATATTAATCTTAATTTTCAGAATTCATTGTTTCTCTGCAGCCTCTTTAGAAATAATGTTCTGTTAAGACACAGATTTGGAAAGGAGAGGGGTGTAACACTGTACTTCTAAAGAACTTCAGATCTGTGGTGGACAATTTCATATTATTAATCTAATAGAAGATATTGCATTATATTGTGAATGTAGACCCAGTGCATAATTAGAAAGGAGATGAAGGAAAGTACCTGTAAGGCTGATGAGAAAAACATGACAGATGAGCCATACTTTTATGTCTGAATCTGCAATATAATTGTGCTTCCTTAGCAAATGAACACTGGGAAGACTTCCTGGGTATATAAGTGGATATTCATTAATAGTTCAATATACTTCTCAACATCAATATACTTCTCAACAGAGGAACACTTAACAGGGAATACTTGATTTTTATACCCCTAAAGAATACAGTTCAGATCTTTAAAAATCTTGAAGCACTGCTTTTATTTTTCTTTTCTTTTTTTTTT